ACACTGCGGAAATTCTCAACCTAAATGTTCTCTCACAACTATCCTTCTTCCTCCCAGGATCCGACCTGTTCAGAAGACTACGGCTTCTGTACTCCGGCAACGAAGACGGCTTCTCCACGGGAAGCTTCGAGAGCAAAGTCTTCAATTGGCGAGCACCCACCATCCTTCTGGTACGTGGCACTCGGCTGAATGACGCGCCTCACGGCAGTCAGGAGTCAAATTTTGCTGCCTCCATCCCTCCACGTCGCTTCCCGAACAGCGGCAAGGGAGAGCGCCTGACCTTTGGCGTTTATGTTAGTCAACCGTGGAAGCACACTGCCAAGGAATGCTTTGGCGAACGAGACACCGTGCTTTTCCAGCTGGAGCCCGTCCACGATGTGTTCCCAGCTTCCAAATACAACTCGGACTACGTCACCTTCACCAAGGCGCCTACTAATCGACCTATGCTCGGCGTCGGATGCCCCCATCCCCGACAGACGCAAGCTCACCGGAGGCAAACCATGCTGTCTCTCGGCGCCGTCTCCTTGCTACTCGACGACTCTTTCGAGTTTGGAGTGTTCACCCACGACTGGACCACTGGTGGCGGCGCATTCCAAACGAGCACGACGCGAAAGTTTGACTTTCAAGATCGGTTCGAGATTGAGAGCCTGGAAGTCTGGGGTTGCGGAGGGGACGAGGAGGCCAAGGCGCAGGCGGAGCACTGGGCTTGGGAGCATCGTGAGGCGGAAGCTCGGCGGAAGATCAATTTGGGCTCTGGTGACATTGAGGCTGATCGTGCGCTGCTTGAAATGGCTGGTCTCGTGGGCAACAACCAGAGTGGTGGCTCCATGATTTGAGTCCCGCACGAGTTGTTCTCCCAATTACCCTTCATGTGCATTGCTACTACTGGGACAACAAGTCATAAGTTTCAGGGTGCTCTAGATTAGGTGTTTATTGGTTTTGTAGCATAGGATTCCCACAGACTATCCCCGACAACGATGATTTTTCAGTCCTTCACGAATCCTGTTGATGATAAGTCCTTCCAATTGTAATCATGTCCAAGACTTGAGCGTTATGTTGCCTTCAGCCACCATACACCACCACCACCACCACCACCCCTAAAGAGTCCTCGCGAAGCCCGTGAAGCCGTCCTGCTGGCCATCAAACGACAAGCCTCGAGAGAGCGGACGAATGGCGTCTAAATCGTCAATTATTTGACCTCATACGCTGCGATAGCCACCTCGAAGGCGTGGTTGATGCCCTGCCCCTTCCAGATATCGTAGTCTAGCAGAGACTGGTGGTGCGGATCTCTCAACTTGCTGCGCAGGGCACTGGCAGAGGCCTAGTAATGACGGTACACGTGGTCAGCATCTCAGCGTCCCCATCATTCCACAGATACTTCGCAGTAGTGACTCAAAGCAGAAACTGGAATAGGAGCCTCACTCACCAACGCGGTATACTCGAGCTGCTTCACGACGTTGTAAATCCTGTGGTTCGCGTACGACTGGTACTTTGACACGGGGGCCTTGGCCGTGATGAGGCGAAGGAGCTTCTTCATGGACGGGTGGTCGCGGCGCCAGGGGAGATGAGGCCACGAGTTGCCAGCCTCCTCGGGTCTGTTATCGTTGTTCTCGGGATGTCCTGGTGGTGGCGGCGGTGTGGTGGGTCTGGCGGGTTGGATTGTGACTGTGGTGGTGACGAGCTGCTCGTCGATGGCGCGGGGACGGTGGGCCATTGTGTTTGTTGGGAGGCCGATTGTCATGTTTGCTGTTGTTTGGGTGGGTAGGGCGGGGGCCGTCGTTGGGACGTGGGTGATTTGGAGTTCGCGGCCGGAGAACTGCGTTTCGTGAATACTTGTGATGGGGATGGATTAGGAGGGGGGAACGGCGGAAAGCGGCTTACGTCTTGGTAGCATTTGAGGATGTCGAATTCGTCTTCGTAGTGGAAGTGTGCGTTGACGAGGGCTTGTTCAATCTTCCAGAGGACCCATTCGATGTGACGGAGGCCGTCTAGAACAACCTGAGGTGGGGATGAGTGAGTTCTTCAGAAAGGAAATGATGAGGTCGAGGGAGTGGGAGAGAGTTGAGGAGGTAGTCAAGGTCATAACATGAAGGACGGCAGAGAGAAAACTTACGATATAAGGTCCCTTGTTGTGGACGAGCCAAGGAACATATTCGTACTGCCACTGATACACTGCAGTCTGCAAGTCCCCAGTCTTCCACGCAATCCCCTTGTAATATTCACAAAGCTGCTCTCTGGAGATACCCTCATGATGCCCATGGGGCTCCCGATGCGGGGGATCCGAGTGAGGAGGATGAGGAGGCGGCGGAGGAGGGGCGACACCGCTCCTCGCAATGGAGTTCACCGCCACCGTCGCGGCATCGCGGAGGCTCTCACCCTCATCAGTGGCAGAAACAGAACCAGCGAGGGCGGCCGAGGCCTCGAGTTCGATGGCGGCCCAGGCTACCTCACCCGCGGCGGCGAGCTTGTACTCGTCGTTCTCGGAGAGGACGGTGGCGGGGAAGAAGGCGGAGGGGTCTATGCCGTGGACGGGGCCGGTGATGAAGTTTTTGAGGGGTTCGCGGATGGCAGCGTCGAGGGTTGAGTCTGGGACTATGATTGGTTTTGCGGATTCTGGGATTGTGGCGGCGTGGGTGAGGGTTAGCAGTGCTGCTGGGAGGAGGAGTTGGGACTTCATCTTGAAGGATTGGGTTGAGGATATGGAAACGAGTGTGATGATGAGGGAATTGGAGAGGAGGATTATGAGGGGGCCCGTTTGTTATATAGATCATCATGGCATCTCTGTTGGATAGACATCCTGAATTATCTACAGACTACGTCGTCTTGTGGATTGAGTTCCGGGCCGGAGTGGATTGTGCGTGATGTCCGGTTGTGCGTTGACCTGGAGGGACAGTTTACCGAGAGAAGCTGATGATGAAACTCTACTCGAGAGATGGCGCTTCTTCCCGGGTCGCCCTACTCTGATGCGGCACCTCGAGGAACAGAGAATAATCAAATACGAATCTACACGGCTTCTGAGTGTCCAAAGTCAAGCGTGTGCTGTCCAAAACCTCAGACGCCTCCCCTAAGCCATCGACCATATGTCGACGGCCCGTGACTGTGAGTTTCGATATTTCCTGTCGTCGTCAGAACTAACGTTTTCTTTCCGCGGGGTAACCACGTTTCCGGCGTTGGAGAGCATTTCTTCCTGCTTGTCCATGATACATCAGAGCGAAACGAACGTGTCTCTACGCTTTTGCTATGCGATGTGGTGAAGTCCGAGTGGAATGGATTTGTTCGAGTTTGGAGAACCAACAGACTAATACCAATACGGAGAGGAAAGATCATCACCCATATGGGAGAATCACATGGAATCACAAATATTCCCTCATCGATGGCGCGCCTTCGGCTTTCGGGATCTTGTGTCACAGAAGACGGGGGGTTTTCAAGGGAGCCACTTGTGTTCAACAGCTTAGATAGAGTCTGGAAATCTCGAAGGGAAGCTGGCTCTATTGAGTCCACTAAACAACTCGTGAACAGCCGATGTGCCTTTTTAGACTACTCTATCTAATATGCGGTGGCAATGTGTTTGTGGTCCGATCATATAGTCATGAAAGGCATAGTGATGACTGCAACCCCTGAGTGGATGACTTCCAGGTCTCTGGCATAAACGCAGTAATACTTGGCACGTATTCTTGTAGACTCTAATCCTCCTCTTGCCACGTGTACTTTGAGAGTGTGTCACAACTCTCTTGAGTCAAGCATAGATAGGGTGTCGCAGGCTGGAGATGAATCTCATTCATCTATTCATCAATGCATCTATCGTCAAGTCTCCTGCCGAGGTCCGGCGCCTGCAGAAAGGAGAAGGTCATCTGTCTTCTCATGCCTACCTACCACGTAAGCTATGTGTGCGTGTCCTTTCATACAAGGCGTTCCATGTGAGAGGGCCAAATCACTCTTCACAAGATAGCCAAAAGTCGGAAAAAACAAAAGCAACCCGAGCCAGTATTGAACCTCTAGCCCACCTACACCCGAAGGTCAGCGATGAAGCTTCGGTGGACCATCCAACCAACGGATTTAAAGACCCGAGTTTGCTGGGAGTTGAGGAGGCTTGACTACAGATAAGGAGATGGTTGAGAGGGAAGGTGCTTGAGGTGGGAAATGAAGTGGAAGGAAGGAACTCTATGGCAAGGTAGTTACTAGTAGGTAGACACGGAAAGAGGGTGAGTAGGAACTGAGATGGAAGGAAAGTGCGCCTTCTTCCACTCCAAGAATGAATGGAAGGGAAGGCCTGACCGTGGGAAGGTACTAGCATAAGGTATTGTATGAGAAAAGCAAGAAGGATCAGGAAAAGGAAAAGGCATTCCGAGGCTCAGAACTAAGGTACCTTCAGCAGGATTCACATAATCTCAATTCCTGACTGGCTGGAAAATGCCTGGGTGGGTTGGCTGGGGTATATCTCTACCGAGAAGAAACATCAATACGAGCCCAGGACAGCATGTGTACTTGTTATAATCTTTATTTTCTGATCAGATAAGCAGCAGTCAGGCATGCCAATGCTCACATACATCTCTGACCACTGCCTCTCTCCTCCGTCCCACAACTCCATCGAAGCGGGGGTTTTGGGGGTAATAATAAAAATGAGTCGAGCCACACCACATCCCAGCCTCACGCCCGAGGCCTTTCAACACTCTCAAACACCAAATTGGAATAAATATGGAAAAACAGTATGTGGGAGAGGCATTCCCCTCTTGTGATAGACCACTCCAATTCCCTTTTCCCGATCAAAAACAGAATCAGATCCCAATCCTTTGCTCTGTACAGTAACGTGAACAACAAAGTAGCAACAATAGCAGTGCAGAAAGATGGCCATCCCGTGCCTTATGCAACGCGAACAAACGGACCTGACCCAAATGCTCAGTACGACACCTACTCTCCTCACTCGAGGCCCCCGGCCGCCGGTCGCTCGCTGTGGTGTGTCGTCTAGGTAATACATGGTGCGCTTTCTAGCTGCGTCGAGTTCAAGAAGATGATGACTCGGAGTCCTTAGCCGCCAAGAGCTCAATCATCTTCTCGTATTCTATGTCCTTGTCCAGAGGATCGCGGCCAACGGCCTCACAGGACTCTTGGAACACCTCATCTGCCGAAGAGGGCTTCTTGCCCGCTGTCTTTTCGGTTCTCTTCCACTCTTCAAACCATTTCTTGTTGAAACTCCGAACGAATTTGGACGTCACAGGTCCCCATTGCACTGACTGCTGCTTGGGAGCCGGGTGCTCTGGTGCTGTTGACTCTGGTCTCGCTATTTGGCCGCTCAGGCCAGGGGTATCTTTGCCATTTTGCTCGCTGTTGGGTTCTTGCTCTCCACGTGGCAAGCGCATGGCGAGAAGGACGTATTCCGCCCTCGTCATATTGTCCATCACATCGTCCATGTACCTCATGACTTCTTCCTGGGGTGCCACTGCTCTCTGCAAGTACTCGAGGTGACGAGCTGATTGAGCGCACATCCGAACGGTGACAGGCTGGTAGTAATCGAGCTTGGCATCGCCTCCATACTCTAGCTGACTGCCCTTGCGAACAATGAGGAACGATGCGATAGCCTGCTGTCCGCCGGGCAGATACTCGAGAATGCTGTATTTTGGAAACAGGTAACGATCGCCATTTCCACCAGCAAAGTCGAGGCAGACGCCTGAGATCTCAGGCCTCGCAGGTGGCGGAGGGCCCTTTGACCGAAGGGCTTGCTGAGGGGGATGCTGTATTTGTGGGGCTGCTGGAGTCGGGGCCGGTGAAGCAGCAGGCGCAGCTGCCGCTGGTTTGACGGGATGGCCGTTCGCGGTGCCGTTGATGGCAGCCTGTGTCGTCGGGGTTTGAGGCGTCGGGGTGTTTTGCGCACTCTTGAGTTCCTTGTGCAACTTGTCGAGAGATGCTTTGAGGTCAGTGGCGTCGGTGAAGCCAGGCTTGTTGTCGGCTATCCGTCGGATCATATCCTGCAACGGTTTCGCGTCCAGGGCCGCTCTCACCAAGGCCACAACCAAAGGGTCGCTTCCGCGCGGAGGCAGAAGTTCTGATGACTTTTGCTTCGGATTCGTAGCGAGTACGATATCCAGAATTGTCCGTACCTCGTCGGCAAAATACTTGACTGTCCTCCCGTCAACCAATAGCCTGTCCGCTGAAGGACCCTGTTGCCCCCCTTTCTTCTTATACTCCGCCGTGATTTGATCAATGATCTTTTGAAAGTTGCTTAGTTCATCCGGCTTTGCTTCACCAGCGGCGACCCGTTTCATCAAGTCTCGTAGATGGGGGTCCTCAGATGCCTTCTCGGCCAGCGTCATAATGATGGGATCGGTCCCTTGTGGTTTTGCCGCCGGCGGTTTTGCGGCCCCCGGAGCTGGTGTCGGCGTTGAGCTCGACGGTCGTGAGTTTGGTGCTGAAGGTGCCGCAGCCAAAGGAGGAACGGGATGTGATGGCGTCCCCGGTGCTGCTGCTGGAAGTGGTGCCGCAACCGCCGGGACCAATGGAGCTACCGGCCGTGGCGGAGGTGGCGTCGCACTGGCGGTCCGCATAGGCTCCAAAGTGCGCGGCGAGGGCATCACTTTGGGTGGCTCATTCGCAGCCGACGAGGGCGGCCTGGACGGTGGCTGCTGAGGAGCAGGTGACGGAGGAGCCGGACTCTGGGCGGAAGGCGTCGGCTTCGACTCGTTGGGACCGAGTGCAGGACTTGGGTTCGGATTTGCTGGTGTAGGTGGAGGGGGCATAGCTCCATTGGGAGGACCATATTGCAAAATGGGCCGAAAGGTAGCTTGCGTGGTGGGTGCGGGAGGTTTGGGGTCTTTGATCGCCCAAAGGGTAACATCGAAAACGTGTGGCTCGATCGTGATTGTGCAGGGCCCAATCTTGCTCATGGTATCTTTGGGTGGATTCTTGGGGTCTTCGGTTGCGTTTTTCTTTCGTCCAGGTTTCGTCCAGTACTTCTCGAATAGTCCCTCGGCCAGCCATTTGTGTCGCGACCGGCTCAGCGATTCGGCAAGAACACCACTATGGGCCAAAGGTCAGTTATGTGCATCCACAAGCTACGGCCAAGCCGACGACTAGATCTCAGGGCATACGGTCTTACCTCTCTTGAAATGACTGATACTCCTTCGCGGGGAGGTCATCGGGTTGGGCATCCTCGACGGTCGGAAGCGGCTTCCCGGCCTGAATGGACTTTGGAAGCGAAGGGGGCGGCGGTGGTGGTTCCTCGACTGGTACTGGGACTGGCGTAACTGATCGGGGCTCGGGAGGGGTGACGGTGCGCTTCTTTGCGACGTGTTCGACACGCGCCGCAGCCCTGGCGGGCAACTTCCTCTTCCTCTCCATGTCGAATGTGCCGTTTCCCCGTCGCAGAGTTCAGGGTATCACGAGTAGGTTCCCGAGCGTGTCGGTATTTTCATCATCAGCGGAAGAAGCCACAGCCCCCGACTGCGCGCGGCGCCGTTGTCGTACTCTCTTGGGAGGAGTGTGGAGGGGGGCACGAATATGCTGCACGTGGGAGAGCAGGGGAGGTGGCAGTGAAGTCGAGTCGTGAATATATCGGCTTTAAGCTGTTCGCAGGATATCGGGACTTGTTCTCACGGGGCGGAGTCTGCGTGGGCTTCGCGCGTGGGTTGTGTCGGGAATACCTGTGGAGGAATGAATGGATTTGGAGACTCGGAGAAGGGTTCGTGTGAGTGAGTTGAATTGGGTGGGACGGGATATTAGCATGGGGAGCTTTGTATGGGATGCATCAGCGGCGACCAGCAAGAGGCATGGAAAAAAAAGGTACAAAATGAGATGTACCTGAGGCTCCGGCTGGGCTGTTGCCGCCTCTTTTTTCTTTCGGAGATGCAAGAGCGCGGTTGCCATTCTGCTGCGCTGCTGCTGCTCCTGCTGCTGCTTGCCGGGTACCAAGGTACACCCTCCATTACGTCCCACGTCCAGGTAGGTCCTTCCCACTTGGTGCACGTCGACTTTCCGCGGTGCCGTGCCGTCCAGTCGCAGCGGACGAAAGAGCAGGCGGGCTGCGAGTTTAACAGGAACAGCCATATTTGATTGGCTTGAAATAGGACCCGGAGAAACTGGGCACTTTGCCGCGCCCTGACTGGACGAAGCGCACGGGGCACATGGGGTTTTCGGTTCCATAGAAGGGTCCCGCCCGCCATTCACATCGCGCCAAAATCGTCGCATGCTTTTTCATGTACCTATGTACCACGGTAGGTACCGTGGCGCATGTACCTCGTTCTGCAATGCACTCCGGATCATTCCTTCTCCTGCCACATCAACCAAGACGGGAGCCTCCTATTCCTCCACCCAGTTCCCTTGGATCTCCTATTGCTTTCTCCTGTATGAATCCTAAGGTAAAGCACTTGCCAATGCGTCGCGCAGGTCACCAGATCCACCGAAGTTGCTTACCGGCCGTACTTTGGCTGGTGTTTGCGTAAGCTCACTATGTGTGGGGGAAACTGCAGATGTGTGAGTGAATGTGGCTGTGAAGCTTGGAGAAATGGCCAGACCAAATTACTCTCGCGGCACTTTGTAGCCATCTCTCCGCATTTAGCAAATTAACCCGACCATAGGCGCGCTGCCAAGCCCATGCACAAATACCTAATTATCTCAGCAATGGTCGTCATCTGAGTAAACCAAATGGACTGAATGAAGCGTTTCTGTTTGCCTATGTCCTAAAATCAATTTACAAGAAATAGGCAGTGGTGGCGGGGAGAAAAACTCATCTGATACCGACGGATGATCTGTTGTCGTCGGTGTGCGGCTCAGACCAGAGTTGCGAAAGGTCGCCGCATTCTGGGGACTGCGCCTACTAGCGGCAAGTACTTCGGGTTGGCCGCTTAAGTACCCAAAAGGAAAGTACACTCAGCTAAAGGCCTCCATGTCACCATCCTTGCGGATTCGCAGGCAATTCCAACCTCAAGCAAAGAACCAGTTCGCCAAGGCATCACTCACGGTGGCCACATCACCACCACCCGCCATGTGTAGATAACTCGGAAGTCTCTCAATCTCATCTCTGGTGTCTTTCACATCCCTCTACATCTTTGCATCAGCACAGCACTTCGACAATGACGGTTCCGCTTTCGCCGATCCTGCGGACGGCCGTCTGGGTCGTGGCGGCTCCGCTGGGCCTCTACTTCACTTTCCTGGCCCTAGGCGCAACACCTTTCTTCCAACGACAGTAAGACTTGTTGTCATATATCTCTTGCTCCTGGTTAGCATTTTCTAATGAAATTATTAAAGCTTTCTGTACGCCCACAAGATCAACACCCTCTGGTGGCGTGACGTTGACAAGCCTGAGAGATGGGGCTTTGCAAGTAAGTCTGCGCACCAACCCCCATGTAAGACGCGCCATTGCTGACAACCTCCCTCCAAAGAGGGCCAAGCCACGCCTTTTTCGCTCGACACTCCAGATGGAGTGAGCTTGTATGCATGGCATGTTATGCCTCTGCCTCAGTATCTGAAGCAGGAGGAGAGATTCTCAGTGCAGAAGGGTGGCTTCTGCCAAGATTTCACCGAAACCGAGTCTTTCAAGGCTTTGAAAGAGGATCCGGATGCTCGGGTTGTACTTTCATGTAAGTCATTGAGTATCATTACATATGCTTCCAATCGCTAATTAGTCGTAGTCCACGGTGTAAGAAATGTCCAACTCGTGATTTCCTATGCTCTCATACTGACCATGTGCAGAACGCTGGTGACATTGCGCAAGGCCATAGGCCGGACAGCTACCATGTCATTACTGATACTTCATCATACCATGTCCTGGCAATCGATTACCGTGGCTTTGGTCACTCGACAGGTCGCCCAACCGAATACGGCCTGATCCAAGATGCCGCCACTCTGATCGACTGGGTTATCAATGTTGCCGGCGTGCCCTCGGACCGCATCGTTCTTCTTGGTCAGAGTCTCGGCACAGCCGTGACTAGCGGTGTTGCCGAGCTCTACGCCTCGCAAGGAATCGAATTCGGCGGTGTCATTCTCGTCGCGGGCTTCAGCAACTTGCCTAAGATGCTGAGCGGCTACAAGATTGGCGGCTTGTTTCCCGTGCTGGGACCCTTGAAGGTCTGGCCAGGCTTCTTGGAGTACATGGAGGGCTTCATCTACGACAAGTGGCCGTCGGTCGATAGGCTGGAGAGCCTGGTCAAGCTGACGAAGAGACGTCTGCGCTTGACGCTCATCTCGGCCAAGGACGATGCGGACATTCCCTGGACGGAGAGCAACAAGCTTTTCCGCGCGGCTGCGAATGCGACTGTCCCTGAGGGGCTGAGTGACCATTCATTCGAGGCGTGGAAGGACGTGCGTACTATTCACAAGGGCAAGAACGCCTTTGTGACTACATGGAACGCTGAGCCAAACATCATAATTCGCCAGGAGCTTTTCCCGCACGGTGGTAAGTAAACTTAATCGATAAGTCTAGTTTGTGAAGGGCATTCTTTCTAACTCTCGCAGGACACAACGACATCATGGGATATGCGCCTGTAATTCTTGCAGTGATGCGTTCCTTCGACCTCGCAGGCACGGCTTATGACATGGCAGGATCGGATACTAGCAGTAGAACGTTATAATCGCGGTTATGAGCTTTCCATGCCGGTATCTTTTGCATAGAACTCAAGAGCGCCAGCATTAGAGTAGAGCGGAAGGTGTTTAGATGTTGTACCTCATAGCACCTATTCGAGGGTGCAATTACTTGTTTGGAAGGAGGAGCAGTTGTGACTTTTGCGTTGGCGCTTCGGTCTCCTGGTATAGAATTGATTTAGTCTGGCATGATATCCATATTTCCTCGGTTTTCATTCCTGCTGCCTCTAGGGCATGAATGAGTAGACCACTCAGTCGCAATACCAACAGAATAGCGTGATACTCTGGGTTATGAATCTTGAGGGGACTTACTCAGACTTTTCATTGATTCATTGCCTCAGAAGAGTATGCAGCAAACTGTTGTTTCATTTGACGCACTTTTGTTCATATTCCATCACTCGAGGATAACAACTCATGAGGTATTTACACTTATCAAGGGTTTAAGTAGTCACTCAGGAGGGAGCCATAAATGCCAACAAGCAGAAGTTGAGAATGAAGAACATTTCATTTTTCATCGTTGAATTCTTGAAACACGAATAACTCAATTGAAATGGACCCGTTCACCTTAGTGAACACGTTAAACTTTGAATAGTGACTCTTGAACAAGTCGTCCAGAAGGCGTTGTCATAACTAGTCTTTCGCAGTTTAGCGCCAGGGTGTTAGGAGGGGACTGATCGCCGCACCGCGGGTTGGCACCTTCTGCCCCGCAGTGCCATGGCCCCTAGCAGGTGACCCCGCCATGATGCAGTCACACAAACACAGCTGAAGCCTGTACCGCCTAGGAGCACAGCTGGCACATGAAACTGTCCTCTCTCGCGCCAAAACTTCTTCCCCGCCACTCCCACCGCGCAAGCTTGAACAGAGCTCCAGGAAGCTCCCACCAACACCCCCGAAAATCGACCACTCCCACCACAAACCGTCGAATAGAGGACAACAAGATGCCTGCCGAAGAGTCCAAACCCCTTGACCCGGCCGTCAAAGACGCCAACGACACCCTTGCCGAGGCGAGCGACAAGGGCAAGGGCAAGGAAGTCGAGGTCGAGTCCGAGGACGATGAGGAGGAGGATGCGCCCGAGACGGCACCCGGCGCAACTGCAGATGCTCCCAAGAAGAAGAAGAAGAAGTCCAAGAGAAAGAAGGTCAAGGATGCGCTCACCGGCAAGCCCAGCGACCCGGAGGCTGCCATCAAGGAGGCCATCGGTGGTCTGACGCCCCAACAGCTCACTGAGCTTCTCGCCCTGAACCCGGCGTTGGCGAACGAGCTCGGCGTTGGAAGCTCTAGCAACAAGTCGGCCGAGGAGACCGCTGCGGCGATGAAGAACTTGAACCTGCAGGACATCATGACGGGTCTGGCCTCGGCTGGCAAGAACGCCAAGGATATGGCGAGCTACAAGTTCTGGGCCACGCAACCCGTGCCCAAGTTTGGTGAGGCGGAAGCTAAGGTTGAGGATGGTCCAATCCGCATTCAAAAGGTGGAAGAGGTTCCTACGGAGGCGTCGCCAATGGTCGCTGGCTTCGAGTGGGTTACAATGAACCTCGAGGACGAGGGGGAGATGAAGGAGGTGTACGAGCTGCTCAACGGCCACTATGTCGAGGACGACGAGGCCATGTTCCGCTTCAATTACTCACCAGCCATGCTTAAATGGTAAGTACTCTGCTTTAAGTAACATGCAGACAGGCCTAAGCTAACCATCTTCGCAGGGCCCTCATGGCTCCTGGCTGGCGCAAGGAGTGGCACGTTGGTGTTCGCGCAACGCAGTCTAGAAAGCTCGTTGCCTTCATTTCCGCCATCCCCGTCAACCTGCGCGTGCGCAAGAACGTCGTCACTTGCTCTGAGGTCAATTTCATGGTTGTTCACAAGAAGCTCCGTGGCAAGCGCCTCGCTCCCGTGCTGATCAAGGAGATCACGCGCCGCAGCAACCTGCGCGAGATCTGGCAGGGTCTCTACACGGGTGGTGTGGTGCTGCCCAAGCCCGTCAGCACATGCCGTTACTTCCACCGCGCCCTCAACTGGCAGAAGCTGTACGAGGTCGGTTTCAGCCCGCTGCCCCCCAATAGCAAGCCGCAGTACCAGATTCGCAAGTACCAGCTTCCGGATAACACGTCGATCAAGGGCCTCCGCGAGCTCCAGGAGAAGGACCTTGATGCCGCAAACGAACTTCTGGCCAAGTACTTGAAGCGTTTCGACATGGCCCCTGAGTTCTCCAAGGACGAGTTCAGGCACTGGTTCCTGCACGACAAGAATGCCCCTGGCGAGCAGGTCATCTGGACATATGTCGTTGAGGTTCGTTGCATGTCCCTATCCCTTCTCTGCCCAATGTATACTGACATCCAGCTAGACCAACGGAAAGATCACCGACTTCTTCTCCTTCTACTGTCTCGAGTCCACCGTGATCAACAGCTCAAAGCACCAAGTCGTTCGTGCCGCCTACCTCTGGTACTACGCCTCCGAAGTTGGCCTGACCACGCCCCTCGACAAAGCCGCCCTGAAGACACGATTGAACTCTCTTATTGGCGACGCCCTGATCTTGGGCAAGAAGAACAAGTTCGATGTCTTCAACGGCCTGTCGCTGCTCGACAACGGCCTCTTCCTGGAGCAGCAGAAGTTCGGCCCCGGTGACGGCCAGCTCCACTACTACCTCTTCAACTACCGTGCGGCCCCTATTGCTGGCGGCGTGGACCGGAGAAACAAGCTCGACGAAGAGAACCTGAGTGGCATTGGCTTGGTAATGTTGTAAGTCGCATGAGATTATGAGCGGATGACGGAGGAGGAAAACCCAAGGGTGGTGAGCACAGCGAATAGCTGTATGCATACCGGCGTTAGGGGATGAATGTGAGGTATCACAGTAAATGAATCAAGCCATCACGAGCTATGACTACTCTTCATCGTGTGTCATGTCACAATCTGCCATGCTCTAATCTCTGGGTTTCCGCCCAGCGGCTACACCAAATCCACGCAATCCTAAGCACTCATCTTTTCCACCGTTGCGATCCTTTCCTCCAACCACTTGTTCATCCACGGCACCCTATCCATAATGGGTGCATGCCCCATGCCCTCCACGAACTCTACGACACCCGGCTGCAGATGCTCAGCCAGTAACCTCCCGTGATGCGAGTCGATCATGACATCGCCTAGCCCGTGAACGACGGCGATGCGCTCCCTGCCGACCTGGTCCGCGAGCTGTTTTAGTTGGGCAGGCGACTTGTGATGCCACCCCGCCGCAACGAGCTGCTGCAGAAACCCACGGATACTGAACAACCCAGGCGTGTTCCTCTTGATCAGCTCCTGCGCCTGGAACCGCTGGAAATTACTCTCGAACCGACCGTACCCCTGCCCGCCGTCCGCCGGGCCACACTTGTACGTCGCGTCGTTGGGCAGCTCGGCCGCCTCGTCGGGCATGACGAGCCAGTCGGCGGGGAAGAGCTTGAGCGAGGTATCCGCGATACTCCGGTCCGCCGATTTGGGGACGAGCATGGCGGCGCGGTCGCGCATGTTTTCGAGGAGAGATTTCGTGTTTTCGATCCAGGGGGCCGTGCAGAGCAACGTCACGGAGGCGAAGAGGTTAGGGGCGGCGAAGGCGAGTTCTTGGGAGATCATGCCGCCCATGGAGATGCCAAAGAGGTGGACGGAGCGGGAGGCGGTCCAGCCTACGTGGGTGAGGACTTCGAGGGCGTCGTGGGCCATTTCGGAGGTGGAGTAGCGGATGTAGGGGACGTCGGACTCGCCCATGCCGCGGTTGTCGAGGATGAGGACGGAGTATTTGGAGGCGTTGTCGTGGCCAAAGTATTTTGTTTGGCGCTGCCATGAGGTTTTGAGGCCTGCCAGGCCCATTATGAACTTTTGGGGTTTGAGTTAGTTCAAGGTCTGACGGGAATGAAAACATGGAAGTGGGTGACGATTGCGTACTATGATCTTTGAGGGGCCGTGGCCGTGGATTTCCCAGGCGATGTTGAAGGGGCCGCCTCGGTCCTTGGCGACGGGACATTTTCCCTTGCGATCGGGTTCGAGGTTCCATATTGTTGAGGAGTATGAGGGATGCCTCATTGTCTCTTCCGCCGTGGGAAAGACTGGTACTCTGGAGATATCGTCAGTATACATGGCCGTTGCTTAGTTAAGTGGCTGAAGCTTACTTTGTCGCCATGGCTGCTGTTCCGGGAGGGATTATAGTGAAGTTGAGAGCTTTGTGGATCTTAGGATAATCCTACACGTGGGTTCAGCGTGGTTATACTAGGTATTGTTCGTGTTCGGGATCAAGAAATCTGGAAACATTTGGAGAACCCCGGATAAGTGGCGTTGAAAGATGTTACAGATGAGTTTGGATCGAACTCGAGGGGGGGCTGTGTATGAGAGCTATGAGCTAGGTATGTGAGCTGAAGAGTGAGAGAGAGGGAAGCTCGATTCTCGATAGATCCCTGCGCCCGAAGAAAGATGCGACGAAAGAAGCAAGCGTTTCTTAATAACGACTTGCAGCTTTAGCGTCCTTGTGGAGGGGGGAAACTGTGCAATCGGATCAGTTTGGCTAAATTACAGAACTGCAGAACATGCGGGCTCTCAAGAGACTAAATGCGATCATGGGATTGTGTCAAGGGCAATGCGGTGCGCAATAGGCGGCTGGTGACGTTGTCCATCGAAGGCGACGGTTATAGAGGTACAGATGTGACACGGGCAGATATGTGGGAATGGAAGTACTCTGGTAACATAGAATCGTGCGACATGGGGGTTCCACTTGGACTATGCCTCGGCATCGGGGAGCTCTCATTCACCGCAGGCAGAGCTCCAGCGCTGACAAGGACGTTGCATGTTGTTGGTTCCTTCAAGTTGATGATCTCTGGGTACCTAGAAGGATATCAGATGAAGCTGGGATATTGTAGTTTGCTATATGAGAGAGCTAGTCCTTCGTTTTCATGTGCACTGATAAGTGTAATAGTCACATTGTAGTTGAAGATGGCGTACCTATTGTAAGACGACTTGAGCCTTTGACTTTCCGGAGAGCCATCCGTGGTGGTATTCGAGGGATACGTACCGCCACAGACGATACTGGAAACGGACAGTTGGAGCTCGAGCCACTTGCTGACTGATGGAGACGCCAAGGGACATCTGCCACGTGGTTGACCGCCTTCTCTACCAATGTGGGCCAATGCGGCAGAATCGATAGCTGGCGCAACTGCGACGCTGCTTACCCTGCACGCTGCTGCTGGCCGTTTCGTTTGCTGGATGATCACCAACGACACCTCTCATCAGCTAGCATCATCCAGAGAAACCAGCATCACCAAACATTCGTCTCTCTAGATCTTCAAGCATTCGAATACGCGAATGCGAAACCTTAAATAACACTCAACATGCTTCACGTATAGCTACGTCTAGGCACCATCATGTGGCTTCCGCTGCCATCAACCGACACCCTGACGCGGCCACGCATCGCCGTGGTCCTCTTCTCTGCTGTCGCTGCGGCGTCTCTGGGCTACTACACCTACCAGGCCAACAGAGACCAGTACGATGAGGTCCCAGGCCCAGGCCTTCACCGAAGCAATGCCGTCCGCCGGAACCACAGAAGATCGCGTCGCAATTCACTCTCCTCCGAAGGCTCCCATGGCGACGAGAATGTCGATCTCGACGCAGAGCGTCCTGCGAACGACGCCGATACGATAGTTGACGGCGGAACGGTTGACGAATGGTGGAACGACCCTAATAGCATGCAACCCCAAGCGCGAGCTGGTCACAACATCGTCAGTCTTCTGTTTAGGGTATCGGAGGACAATGCCAGGCGAAACGCGTGCGTCCATAGAGGATGCGCATGCAATGCCTGCGGCATGGTGCCCATCCGCGGTGTCCGATACCGATGCGCCAATTGTGCCGACTTTGACCTCTGCGAAACCTGCGAATCCCAAGGCGTCCACATCAAGACTCACATCTTCTACAAGATCAAAGTGCCCGCCCCGCCCTTTGGACCCCGCCAGATGCAGCCTGTTTGGTACACCGGTGACCCTGATACACAAATACGGAATCTATCTAAAGGCTTGATGGCTAGACTTAGCAGGGAAACCGGCTTCGAAAGGCCCGAGATTGAAGCTTTCTGGGAACAGTTTACGTACATGGCGAACACGGAATGGCGCGAGGACCCCGACGAGCTGGCGCTGGCCATGGACAAGAAGACCTTTGAGCGATGTCTGGTTCCATCGGGTGGCTCTAGACACGCAACACCAAACCTCATCCACGACCGCATGTTCTCGTTCTATGACACCAACAACGACGACCTCATTGGCTTCACAGAGTTTCTCCACGGTCTTGCATACCGCAAACGCAAGGACAAGCTGCGCAAAATCTTCGAAGGCTATGATATAGACGGAGACGGTTTTGTCAACCGCCGCGACTTCCTACGTATGTTCCGCGCATACTACGTCCTCTACAAGCAGATGCACCGCGACATTCTCGACGGACTCGACGATCAGCTTATGGGCAGCACCGAAGCACAGCAGCTCGTCACCAGTAGACAACCCCTGAGTAGCCTGTTTGGCCGAGAGGGTAGAGTGCCTCGCGCTGATGGCAATAACCGCAGTGAGGGCAAGATCTTCCACCCAAATGGAGATGTGGAGCTGGAACCGGGTAGGCGTGGTGTCGTGAGCGACAATAGGGTCGATACCTCAGGACGAGAAGATGTGCTTACTCGGCTGTTCGCGCCTTACATCGGAAGTCCCTGGTCTCTCCAAATGCGATCTCCTGATAGCGAGCCTGACACGCCATACTGGGATGCTTTGCTAAACCCGCCTACCACCATTGACGACCTTCCTGCTCTGCTTACTGGGCAACGTCGTGAACGCAATGGCATTGATTTCGACTTTGAGATCGAGATGGGCAGCTCAGATGGTGAAGAAGGAGGTAACAACAATTCGGATGCGGAAAACAGGAGTCAACCAGGTGACGATCCGGCACAAGTCAACGGCACCACAAACCACAATCAGAGAGTTGATCCCGATCAGTTCACCAACGCAATGCCTACCGAGAGCCAGCTCAGAGCTCAGGTTATCAACCATAAGAGGCAGACGGCCCCTGATATCGAGCGGAAAAGGCGGCAAGCTGCTAGAAAACAGTTGCACGACAGATGGAAGAGAAGGCAGTTTTACCTTGACGAAGAAGAGGGTGGCCTTGCCCCCGATGGCTGGCAATCCGATGAAGATGTCTTGGTGAACCTCAATGGTGTTGCGGAAAGCTCAAAAGCGGCACAACAGCAGACATTACCTCCTCGATCTCGATCGTCGTCAAAGGTTCGCTTCGCAGAAGATATGGATGACTACGAGATCCGATCCAATCCCTCGACATCTTCTAGGAGCGTGCCCGAGCGTTGGGGAGGCATGGAGATTCCTGATGAGGAACGCGACGCAGGCAGGGAGATCCTCTACCAGGTCACGCAGCAGGCCTTCAACGAGCTCCTTGATGCTATATTCAAGGACAAGGAGAACTTGGCCGTCAAGGCAGCTGCGACCAAGGCAAAACGAGATAAGAACAGGCCTCTGTTCGAGCACTTGACTGTCGCTGAGCCGAAGCGCAAGGTGGTCGAGCCACGACAACCGAGAAAGGCCCTAGACGAGGATAAACCTGTTGCCGAAAGAACCCTGGAAGAACTTCTGATGACTAGCGGTTACAGAATCGGGGAGAATGGCGAAACGGAAAACGTTCCCATCTTAGAAGAGCGTCAGAGGGTGGAAGAAGTCATTGACTCGGATGAGGATGATGTTGAGGTGAATGAAGACAACGAGGAAGACGTCTCGACCGTGGAGGAAGTCGAGTATCGGGACCCTACTATGCCTCAGTTCCGTCCGAACAGCGAGGCGGATGAGCCTATGTCTCCTGGAAGCACCCCGCCCACTTCAGACGACTCCTCGTTGTCGACTAAGGGACTCAAGTCGCCCTTGCAGGGAAAGACACCGAAGTGTTCCAAGGAGTCAAAAACCATTCCGCACTTTACGCTGCTGGAATGGAAACGGCTTGATTTAGCCGAGAAGGAAGCTGCCGATCGCGGCGGCTGGGGCAAGCTCAGCTTCGATGAGTTTGAGGAGATCTACAAGAGCCAGGAGAACGCTGGTAATCGTCTGGACTACCTTGGTAGCTGGGTCGACTTTTGCATCCCCTAGCGCGAAGGAAACAACAGGAGACAGGCTGACCAATTACGGCCCTGGCCGACACCGTTTCTCGAAGCATACGCTGCCGAAGATTGCCCCATGGAATACGAGGAATGCGATGAATCCTTGGGATGGGAGGATTCATTGGGATCTTTTGATAGTGACAGCCCGTCTGATCATTTCACTGATAGCGATGTCCCCTCGAGCATGGTACAGAGTTTTTCAAGCTTGGTGAGACATGCTGCAGTGGACGCGGATGTAGATGCAGATCAGAGACGGCTATGGGGTTGATGCTCGGGCTGCCTTGCACCAGTGTGGTGACTGTATCCTGCATGATAGAAGCTGAAAGGCTTCAGCGTCAACAACATCGTCTTGAGTATTGCATTAGAGCGTTTACTCTCAACCCGGAGTTTTGAAAACAGGGGAAAATGTATATTACTAGGCACTTGCAAATGATCCGCCAGCCAAGCAAAAGTTTTATTGTGTGTTTGAGATTGTTCTTGCGAAAAGAGTGACACTGATTTTGCCATGAATGAGAAGAGCCCTACTAGAACGCCTTCCACTTACGATGACAAGATTCTTCCACCCTCAGTAAAGATGGTCGCACCAGTAATGTTCCCATCCTTCATCAAATACAGATACGCCTCCGCTACGTCCTCGGGCCGTCCAAGCCTCCTAGTCAGCGTCTTGCTTCGGAACCTCTCGATGGCCGCCTCAGGCAGCGTCTGGAACAGCTCCGTCGTCACAGGCCCCGAGGAGACGAGGTTCACACGCACGGGGGCGAGGTTAAAAGACAGGCCCCTGACCAGCCCTTCCATCGCGCCCGAGGCACAGTCGGCGACGGCCCAGCCTGGCATGGGTCTGTGGGAGCTGGAGCCGTTTGTCAGGGTCAGCGAGGTGTCTGGTCCGCGTGTGATGTATTTCTCCGTGGAGAGGAGGCCGGCGAGAATCGTGGGCGCGTAGGCTCTCATGGAGAGGGACGCGGTGATGTGGGAGGGTCGCGTGTCCGGGAGGGAGGGAAGGGGAGAAGATGCGTCTGCGGTGTAGAGGATGTGGTCAATCTTGAGGGAGCCGTTTGATGTTGCTTTGTCGAGGAGGCGTGTGAGGTTGGCGTGCAGGTTTTCGAGGTCTGCGAGGTCGATTGTGTGGGTTCTGAGCTGGTTGTTCTTGGTGGAGGGGTAGGTTGAACGCAGGCGGGCTTCGGCAGCGGCGAGTTTGGAGGGGTTGGAGGAGGCTAGGATTACGGTGGCGGCGTGTTCGAGGGATGCTTCTGCTGCTGCGTAGCCTAGGCCTGAGGAGCCTCCTATTATTAGGATGCGTTTGTTGGCGAGTTTGAAGGTGTATTTGGCGGGTTGGGTGGACATTGTAAAGGATTTGTGAAGGGGGAATGATGGTGTCTGGATTGATGGAGAGTAAGATGATGGTAGTTTCTTGCTTGGAGATGAATGATCGGAGGCTGTCGTATGAGAAGTTGCAAGCTCTTCTTTGATGCAGTCTTGGATTTAAGCTGTCTTTTACGGGTTGGATGAGCTGTATTAATGCTTCGATTTGTTCATGTTCTTCCACCGAAGCGGGCGGACAAGATCGGCACTGTATCTTGAGAACATACTATGATATTGGTAAACCCACTGCATCAATCACGTCAATGGAGCTTGAGCCGAACTTTGACAGCTGAAGATGGTCTTTTGGTGCCGCATTTCGCCATGACTTTGTCCGCACTGCGTCTCGCCCGCCGTATTCGTAGAGACTTCGGTATCGCGTTCGGACACCGAACGGACCAGCGATCATTTTTCGGCGCCTTAGTATGGGGAGGAAGCTTGGTGGACGGGGCCGAACCTACTTAATTTGGACTACGCTCGTCCGATAGTTGCGCCGCTCGTAGACTCCAAGGCCGCGCATCCCGCGGAGTGGGCCTCCCAAATGGACCCATATATTCCGACCTCCGCCGGATGCCGGACCCGGATGGAACCCTTCAGCCGCCCCATAATCTGACTGCTCCACAACAACTCCAGCCCCCGCCAAAGCTGACACCGGTCACGATGGCGGCCACTGGTCGTCCATCACCTCGGCGCTTTCAACCGCGTAGACCCCCGTATGAATCGCGTCGAGCCTTTCGCAGGGCGCGTGCGGCGCCTGTCGCTTTCGCTCCGCATCCCAGATGATCAGCCGTCGCCTCTACGTCGTCTACCCAAGCATCTGATCCCATTTTTGCCGTACCTCGACCGCCCGGATACCTCCCACGCCAGCGAAGAACGTATTCCCGCCGGAAAACATGCTTTGCGCCTGTCTACCATGGCCTTCTGGCTGCGCGCCTGCGCCAGCTCCCACGGCGACCACTGTGTTCCTCCCCCGCGGCCAGGTGCTGCTCGTCCGCTGTGGTTGATTGACGTACGTGCCTATTGCTTAGTCGCAGTGAAAGATGACCGTGAAGAGGAGAACTCTTCTGTTTCACTGTATCCCTACGTGGCGCTGAGTTATGTCTGGGGCCAGGCGTCAAGCGCGACCGCGACGCTTGCCAACATCGCCGCTCTTCAGAGCCCGGGGGCTCTTGATGGTCAGGATATTCCAGCTACGATATGGGAAGCTATGGAACTGACGCGGCTTCTTGGTGAGCGATATCTCTGGGTTGATAGGCTCTGTATTGTGCAAGATGACAAGGATGCGAAGCCTGCTCAGCTGCTGGGTATGGCGGACATTTACGGCGGTGCCACCCTGACTATTGTTGCTGCGCAGGGGCGCGGTGCGGATGAGCCTTTACATCATGGGCTGGTCGATGAGACCGAGGAAGAAGGGGCCGAAAGCGGCCAAGGCGCGCTGCCTTGTCTGGAGGAGGTCTCCCCCGAGGAATGGGCGCAACGTCTGCGAGAGTCTAGGGAGGGGCTGCCGCGTTCTCCCCGAAGAGTAGTGTCTTCAGAGGATGAATACTACGGCTCACCCTTGTACTATGGATACCAACCGGATCGAAGTCAACAAGCTGATGCTGATGATGACCATATGGCAGCCAACGAGCAATACCTGCCTTTCACTATGGGATACGGCGGCTCACCTCACTACATAGGGTGCGGCTCACCGTACGATTCACCTTCCCCCATGGATATCGAGTCACCCAATTTTCTTCCCACGTCGCCCTCATACACTGAAGTCGAGTCGCCGGTGGTAAACGAATGGAACTCGCCTCCATCCCCTGTCAACGAGCCACTAGCTATTCCTCAAGAGGGCACAGATCCTCCGCCCGACGTGCCTGACACATTCTCCGCCACGGAGATGCCGAACGTTCGCCGTCAACGAGAGGTGGATGCGCATCGCGCGATTATGGAGGGGCATGCTCGGGACTTGGTCAACACGGCGTGGTGTCAGAGAGGCTGGACGTTTCAAGAGCTCATGTTTTCTCGACGACAACTTGTTTTTCACAATGACACCGTCAACTGGCAGTGTCATTGCGCGTCCTGGCATGAGAATCAAAAACACATAGTGACGGGGCCTTGTAGTGGCGTTGAAGAGAATGAGCAGCACAGCAAGGACAACAGCAAGGACGACGGTATCGAGAACGGTAACGACAATAGAGTCTCTGCCCCATCGTCGACTGAGCTTCTACCTTGCGTCTCCCCGTGGCCTGACTTCCACCGGTACGCCAGGCTCGTCGCGCTGTATAACAAACGAGTCCTAACATACGACCACGACGTCCACGATGCTTTCGCTGGGGTCCTATCCGCATTTGGTCAATCATTTCCCGGCGGTTTTATCTGTGGTCTGCCTCGCATCTTCTTCGACGCCGCGCTGCTATGGCAGCCTTACGACCCTTTAGTCCGTCGCACTAGCGATCTCTCCTCCGCTCTACCGAGTTGGTCGTGGATGGGGTGGCAGGGGAATCTTCAGTCCGAGAGCTGGCGCAGTGGTTATCGATATCTGCGCGGCGGAAACCCCGGCGATTCGGACGACTTTTGGCAGCCTGATTCTTGGCAGACCCGGCGGACTGTCGTGTGGTCGTACTCGTTGACCGTTGATGGGGAACGATTTCCAGTGGGAGATGAGACCGCCGAGTTCATGGATGATCCGGCATCAAAAGGGTGGTGTGAGAAATACTGCCAAAGGGCCCAGAAGCCATACTTCACTCATCCTCAGGCGGGAGCACAGGAATTCTGGTTTCCTATCCCTCTAGCCACAATGGCCAGCATCAACGATAGTCCTCCGTCGTGCCAGCCCGCTTACCTGCATGGTCTCACCCGACGGGGATCCCTCCAGATTAGCAGACTATTCCACGATCACCGCACTTCGCAGTGCGTATGCGCGACTCTGTGCGACTCGAATGGCCGTTGGGCTGGCGTGCTGAGACTCAACGCTGCCTCTTCAGATTCCGATGACTTTTACGGAGCAGCAGTCGGCGAGACGTGCGGGCTGGTCGAAATCTCGGCGGGATCTGCGGAGAACCAACCAAGAGAAGATGTTGACTTTGACGGGTGGGAGGAAGCTGAGTTCGCGCGGCACGGGGGGGAGTACAAGTTTGTCAACGTCCTGTGGGTTGAGTGGAGGGACGGCTTGGCATACCGCAAGGCATTGGGGCGAGTCTGGGAGGCTGCGTGGGCACGGGTCGCCTTAGAAGGTGTGCAGATCACCCTTGGGTGATATATGAAAACGGAGATACATCCACCGTAACATCAGTGCCATAAAGTTATAAGAAGAGATATCGACCTGTAGTGAGTTCTCGCTGTCATTATGGCAAAGGTATTTCCCCTGGACTGTGCTCTGGCATTCGGCCAACAAGCGGTCCATGGTCTGCAGATCCATACCTAGCGAAGGATCCAGTCTGGTACGTTTACGCTGGTGCAAGAGCCTTTTGATAAACGCGCCGAGCTCGTGTCTGATCAGGGTGTACGTTATAACTGTTACGCATTGTCCTTGATTGATCAATTTGGTGGATGTTTCGTCGAAGCTTGAATCGTCTATGTTCAACGGAAGACATGCGTCCTCAATCTCGTGACATATCGCTGGTTCTGTACCATAGTCCAAAGATAGGTTAAGGTCCAAAAGCCAAATAGACATCCATAGCCGTCGTCGGTTTTCCAAATCGAAGGGTGATACCCCGAGTCTTTTGTCAGGATCATGTAGCCTCAAGCCCTGGCCCATGCGGACTGCAAGGCCAGCAAGGTTCCATGTGGAACGAGTTTGATCTGACTGACGCAAGCAATGTACGAAGAGCACAAATGCCTGCAGAACGACCAAGTTCGTGTCTGACAGAAGTTCTGCTTTTGCCAGTGCTTGCTCTGCAGCAACGCGATAATGCGAAAGAAGAGTTGTTTTCTCGTCGCCTAGCAGCTCGCGCACCTAAAACGCGTTAGTTCAAGGTCAAAAACACGCCATGTCACTTGCCTCGTCGGGGGCCATGGAGGTGACAGCTGCAAAGAATATGACAAAAATCAATGCTTCTTCAGTGGCGTCCAGTGATGTTATTCGATTTTGTATTTCTCGAACAACCTTGCCGATGGTTGGAATGTGAAATATCTTAATGACAGGGTCAACATTCTCCATAAAGGTTTGCCAGTAAAACGGGATTTGTGATATGGGCGGGTGGAATGTCGACAAACTCCTGCTCCCTAACGTGGAACTAATCAAAAGGCTAGCGGAAGTCGATTGATTTTTTCCGCGTTCTTCTACAACCGAAGCACTCTCAAAAGCTGGATCTGTAATCAAATTTAGGCAGTCAACATCTGGATTTAAGTCGTTGATATCGAAGAACTAAATGCATGATAAGGTAGTCAGACTAACTTCTCCCAAATAAGGATACACCGAACACACGATCAAACACGGCCAACAACAACATACCATTTGATCCAAGCTAACTAGTTCCTGCCTTTGTATGCTATCAACATCGAGGGGCGATTGAACAGTGTTGTCTTCGATCTGTCGAAGCAGCTTGGGTGGGCTGTCACCAAGGTACCAGCACCGGCCAATCCACAATTCTTCGGGCGCACCTCTTCGAATATTGTCATTTGGCTGGTCCGGGCACGCGCTTCTTGACGAGTGATGTAGGCAACTCGCTTTGCTACGCTGGGTACTCTCACCCAAGCCTTTTCTCAGCCTCGATGTGCCACGTTTGAAGGACGGAAAGACACAAACGACTCCGTGCCGGGTGCAATGGTTGCAAGGGTTTTGTTTGTCGCATCTGACTTTCCTGCGATTACATGTAGTGCATGACCGAGGCCGTTTGGAAAGAGCGGTATTCGCAGGATCGCTGCTCGTGGGTCGTACCAGATTTTCAGTTGAATCAGGCTCATCCGTGAGTCCAGGCAAACCAATAGATGTAGTTGCCGGAAAGTGCCATTGAAAAGTCCCTACCCGAGATAGTCAGACGGATTCTGAGGTGAATCATGTTCTTCTCCAGTAATCAGTGAGGGGCTATTGTAGGTGGAAAGAACCCGCTTTTCGGAAAGTAGTATTTTCTCTCCGTCTCATTGATGTCAACGTGATATAGAGCGCTCGCCATGGGCTGCATAGAAAAAGGCTATGTCATATTCCACGACAGATAATGTTAACAAAGGTATAAGTGGGATACTTGTACTGAATAGTTGTGTGCCTTTTGTCCGTCTCAATGTTGGGCCGTGTGACCCATTTGGTTAGTCGTGCTGGTTGCCTCTATTGCCCGCACATACGCGGGCCAACCTCCACAAAACAGTCTCTTGGACTATCACCAGGAAGGATGCTAGCCCGCGGTCGGAGTTTCGGCTCCTCTGGTAGTCCGCACCTACATAGTGTGGTGTGTCGACGGTACTTAAAGCATCACGAAAAGGTCCTCCCAAGGATATCTTGAAACCAAAGCTCAATAACTTTCTAGCCTTTGAAGCTAACTTCTTATAACATTAAATTCCAACCTATTAAATACTTTGAACTCGTAATGGGTCGATATTGCTCCTCTCTGATGCTGTCTTTGACTTGGCTTCTTGCCATAGCAGGGGCACATGCTGCCTTGAACCCGAAAGGTTGTCTTTTGGAGTCTGTTAGCGGCGAAAGCGCGAGGGCCAAGTTCTCCAATGACGCTACATTCCAGATGGATCACACTCGACCATACAACCTTGATACATGATACGTGCCATTTGCCATCCTTCACCCTCACAGCCCCTCGGAGGTTGCAGTCATTATTGTTTGTGCTTCTCAAAACGATCGCAAGGTGCAAGCTAGAGGGGAAGGACACGGCTACACGAACAAGAGTCAGCTTTCTCTTGACTGAAATTCCAAATAGACTAGTGTTCTGACTGTAGACCTAGGGATTGGTGGCCATGATAGAGCTGTCATAGTTGACGTGAAGAATCTCAACCATGTTCAGGTCAACTCTGATGGCATCGTCAAAGTATGATCAGGAAATAGACTGAAAGATGTCTGCGAGAAGCTTCACACCAATGGAAAGAGATGGATGCCTCACGGATCATCTCCTACTATTGGAATTGGTGAAGTGCTTCAGACTTTGCAATTCGCCATGTCTGTGCAAAAGTCTTTGTCATATTCCATCGCAGCATTGCTCTTTGGAAATTATCTATTGTGACAGTTTGTAAGATGGCATCATGGATGGCAGACCAAATACTCGTACTTAGGCAGAGAACAGTCATTGTTCGAATCTCCGTCCACTATTATCAAAAGAAACTCGGCTAGCTACGCGAGTGCACGACATCAGAATGACTACCTCGTCAGAGTCGCTTCTATGTCACAAGGAGAATCTTTTCGGATGCGAGGTTCAGGTAGTTTGTATTCAAGCGCCATGGAAGCCTTTGATGCCACTTGAACCACTTGAGATTTCTATATGCACCGTGATGAAATCCGGTCGTAAATAGACCCCAAATCGTACCCGAGAGCCTCGAAGATGTCGACTGATATACCTGCTAAAGCCTTCTAGTGAGAAGTAGACCCGTGCGTCGTGTTTGACCCCGTGAAGTCACCTGGAAGGGCAGTAAACATGAGATCGCTGGTCAAGTCCGTAACGCGGCCAAGAAGCTGTTCTAAGAGACGGTATCCGGCTCCTTGAGCGTATTGAGGTAGTTCTATGAAGCCGAAGGTTAGTACATTCTTGGTAGGGTTCGTCTTGGCTGATTTGGTTACTGACCGTGTCCGGCATTAAAAACACGAGCGAAGGTGAGGCCGCGTTGTGCAACCCAATCACCAATCTTTCCAGCCGCACTCTGGGAAGATAGGTCGCTGTAGGCTGTAGGGAGGAAGAAGGTCTTGGACGGGAACTCATCGAAGCCTTGCTGTCCGTTCCAAGTCATGTTCTGAAGCACCATGAGCGTACCATTGGTAGGCACACGGAAGTCAAGGTTACCACTGGCGATTATGAAGTTGTTTGTATGCTCAATGACGCGGGTCAGAGCGCCGGAGGCGAAGGGGTCAAGACTGATATCGCCAGTGGGACCAAACGGGTTCTCATCGGAGCACTTCTTCCAGTCTCTCTGCCCGGTGGGAATGTGGATGGCCTTACGCATCTCCGGAAGGTTGAGGTAGGAGTGCCAGTCTGCCTTGTCAAAGCTGAGGGGTACAGAGGCGTTGTCGCCCTCGGCGGCCCAACTGAGGGGATCCGATGGATTGGGGCAGCCCTGAGAGATGTGGTAGATATTAGCACAAGGGCTAACTTCCCCGAGACCTTCGTAGACAATAGACGAGATTGCACAGTCATCGCTGTTGTTTCCGGGTGGGAAGGGACCCTTGGGAGGGAAGGTGAAGTATTTCTCGCGCATATCGGCGTAGCCGCATTCTTTGTCGGCAGCACTGATCCGGTCGTAATAGTTGCCAACGCCAGGATACAGGCCCATAACATTGTTGTACTCCTCGACGAAGGGCAAGGAAACCGCATGCTGTTGGAAGTCACCAGGATCAGATCTGATGTACGGGCTAAACATCAGGGCACCGGAGAGATTGTAGTCGGCAGACTGGTTGGACTTGATCATGGCGTCACCAATGTAGGGGATGTAGTGGCCAGCATAGCTTTCGCCAGTGAGATGAGTCTTGCGGCCCTTGGTTCCGAAGGTCTCCATCCAGTTGTGGTAGAAGCCGAGGAACTGCTGGGCGGTCTCCTCCTCCGTATTGACTCCAGGTTTACCGACTGAGAAACCAGTGCCAGCGGGCTGGTCGACGTAGAGCACATTTGAGAGCTGGGACCAGCTGAAAATGTTGTAAACCGGGCGGTAAGCTGAAGGGAACCAGGTGAAAGGTCCGTTCTCCTGGACCAGTCCGATGCAAGAACTGCATCCCGGGCCTCCATTCAACCTTGCAGAGGAGTCATTATGCGACTAGGTCCAAGGAAATGTCTCCTGGGGTTCGAGGAAACTCACCAAATGGTGACCTCCTCAGATGCATCTGGATTGGTGCTAGGGAAGTACCTGTTGGAATGAGTGTCAATATCGTAAGATAGATGGCGACTTAGACAGGTATATATACTTACCAGAAGAAGAGTTGACGAGTCTCGTTGGATGCTTTCGAGATCGGGATTTGGCCAGCATATGATTCGCCCAGATCCCAGTCAACCAGTGGAATAGACGTGCCATTCACGAGGTACTCTTTGTAATATCAGCCTACGGAAGGGGGAAGTCGAGGTTGGGTGGGCATACTCTCAGTCTTATCATTCAGGTATTGGTACTTCTCGGTGTTTTGACGACGCTCAAGATGGTGGCGTACAGGCAACCGCTTGGCCTCCGCAAGTTTCTTGACCGGGTTGAAGCCGTCGACTCGCCAAGAATCGGCCAAGACGGTGGTGCAAGGCAACAATGCCAGCAACAGGTGACGGATGGACATCGCGGAAACCATGGTGACACAGAGTTGGTGGGCTGAATGAGGCTGACCAGAACCTCCCTCAGAGGAGGGTTGAACTGATCTTGATAAACACCTCAAATTGGCTTCGACACGGGCCAATGGCTTTGGACGATGAGCTACTGACAGCACTGCAACATCGGCTACCAAAGGTTCCTCAAATCATATATTTCAGTTTGCCCAATGCACAGCAGGAAGCTTAGCTACTAGGATAACATTTGGCTTCCGCAAGCTAAGCTTCTCGTAATCCGAGCCGATGACTGTCTTACCATGTCAGATAAGGGACCGATTGCTGGCACGGTACGCATGGATGAATCATAGGCGACTCTTCTCGCTGAAACTCAAACGCAATCAACCCTAATCTATCGTCGATATGCCCCTGAATGCTAAGCTTTCCAAGAGGAATTGGGCTAGGAAACCCTCCTCAATTAAACTCATCGGTAGGTTATCCCGTGGAACCACTCCAGCATCTCAATCGCAAGACAAACGGAAACTCCAAACAACCCTACATCCGGATCATCCGGTGAGAGTGCGATATTTTGAGGGACCGAGGACGGGCATGATTAATAAAACTTTAACCGTCTATACGAGCCGAGTCGAACTTTCCGTTGGGCGATCCATTGGGGCCGATCTAGGGACACCCTCTGAGATCCGAAACTGATTTGACCACCCGTGCATGGGGTTTGGACGACGAACGTCGACTGAAGATGATTTAAGCTTGATGAATATGGGATGAACATTCCATCCCGCTTGCCAAGAACGATCGGATGTGGTGCATTGTTCAACTTTCCGACGCAACCGATTACGGCAGCTTGGCTTCGACTTTCTTGGTATGTGCGGATTGAGGTACTTAGGGTGCCGGTTTCCGGCGGCCCGTAATTTCCGGGAAAACTGAAGATCATGTCGCTGTAAAGCTTGCTGAGCAGCGCTATGGCTCAATCAGGAATGTGCTTTAGTGATTTGATTTCGATAAGTGAGCATGTTAATCACCGCTGCCATTCTTGTCTTAGAGAGCGAGTTTATTTCCAGCCTGAACGTTGTCATGTGCATCGGTAATAGTCTCATTTTGCTGGCTTTTCTTCCAAAATTTGATTACCAAATTAGGCAACCTTCTGCATCCTTCTCGCGGGTTTTTATTGTTTATGGTGAGCTTCGTAGAAGAGTTCATGTCTTCTTGCTGTATGGCGGTAGATTATTTTGCCAACATCTATTATTTCGCAAGTCCATTTATCCCGTCTCTGTTCCACGTCGTAGCGCGATTCTCGGTTTGGGAATTGCACGCTCGCTTGCTCTCCGCTGGACCGAGCAGAGCTCACGATAAAGGCTCATATTACATTTATATCTGTCTTAGTTGATCATGGCTAGCGCATGTCGTCGTTTATGCATCCCATGCCTCATTCGTGGTCCTTCATCCAGTCCATCAATTCCTGCCAGTTCACGCATTGATGTTCAGTACCGAACCCCGTTACACCGCCCACCGCAGGGTCGCCAACCTCCACAGTCAGGTCAGGTCTGCAAAGAATGGACTGGCGGACAAGGTCCAAACAGTGTCCTATATGATACATATCTTTGACGTGATTATGATCGGGAGAAGTGTCGTGGCCTGTGTTATGGTCTGCCTTGTGATCTGCAGGGTGCGACCCATTGTTGACTTGCTCCATGATGTCAGGCCGCGCCTCATATAGTGCTTGACGGATCATGTCGAGACAGTGAAGTTGGTGGAACACCGCTATGCAGCTTTTTTGCGGCGCAAGCTTGGAGTGTTGAAAGAAGCCACCCTCCTTAGGAAGAAGCGAGGCCCAAGCTTCATCGACTTGTGCGGATGGTGGCATAGCATAATTGAGATCTAACTCAAAAGTTCTGCTTATGGTTGATACTGTGCGGGATTAGAGTTGTGAGAAAGGAACGTGCATGTGGACGCCGGGTGGTCTCTTACATCGCATCTCAGACTTAACGGGCTCAACGCCGTAATAATCTGGCGTAGCTTTGCTAGGCGCGGTATGTCTGCTGAGCCCCGCCACTAAGACGAGGAGTATCGCGTAAAAAAGGTGGACTCTGACCTTCTGCCAGTACTCCCTCAGCCGCGATTCTCTATGTTGGACACTCTCGCCATTATCAATGGCTTGGTCAACTCGCGCGTACTGATGAGACTTATTCCAAGACGACATCGTGTAGCTTAGGGGTATTTTTGGCTTGCGTGAATACCGAACGCCAGATGGAAGAGAGACGGCAGAGAAAGGAGCTTCCCTACCATCTTTATGAGCTAGGAGCACGGGAAGGGTAGGATATTGATCGTCCAATCTCTGACAGGGCGATCCTCCTCGAGCGAGTCCCACCATCACGACTCGCAACGTGCAAGGTGCTTTGAATGTCGAATAGCATCCATTCATTCAGGCATTGATAAGTGGTCAAGCGGTCCGAGGAACCCCACCAATTCATTAAGAACGGGCAGAACCACCTTTCGCTGACTCGCACAGCTGCCCGCTGCTTTCGTTGTCCATTCACTCCCGGACAGCCTCAAAGAGGAAAGATCATGAAAAGGCGAAGGGAAAGCGTAGAATATTGACAACGGCTGACGACATAGCCACGAGGCTCTGTCTCACTTCCCCTTTCCGTGTTTCCGGGTACTGATGTTGCCTGTCGATCGTGCGCGCTTGGCTTTGCGGGTCGCATCGGTCATGCGTCCATCCGAGAACCATTTGCAGGGGGTCATCGGGGGCAACCACTTTGCTGAAGCTGGGACGAAACGCCGATGTTGCAATCAAGCACTTTTGATGAGCTGTTTAAGCTACATCCCCAGCATATAAGCTTGCCGTTTCCCCGGACTTGGAGTTGATTGGGAAGAGATGCGGAGTTTGGGGCTGCTGTTGACGAGCACCCTTGGCCCGGATTCCGTCTCCGACGTCCGGGTTTCGCCAAGTCCCGCCACATCGACACCCAGAGAACGGTTCGCACTTCAAGCATCTAATTGCACTCATACTATGAGACGCTTCACTACTGGTGTCGACTTGAAAAAGGCCATGCTGAACTGAGATGCTTGACAATACAGTCACTTGACATAGGTACCTTGAGTGCTACATCCCAACTACAAAAAGGTGAAAGTTCCCGATAATTGCTTAACTATCAATTGCTGATTGTCGAGAAAGACAGGCTGAAATTCAGAATTAATCTGATTCGGAATGTCTGCCTGTCGTTCATCAGTGACTCACACCAAGTGTGACTGAGTGCCCGTCCAGTTGTTGGTCCTGGGCGCGTCAAGAGCTGTATCCATATCGGGAAGGTCAACAAACTCTCATCCCACATGAGACGCGGCGTAGCGGATCCTCAGACGCCAACATGATGACTGGAAAAAGTCAACATGTGTAGAAATATTTCTTATTTGAGTCGAGGTCTTCTGCGCAGACCTTATTGTATAGCTGATGGCCCGTTACTTCATTAGCAAAGTTGTAACTCAAACGCAGAACATCATAGAATCACCGTCTATCCGCCGCGATGGCCTCGTCTCATTTTTGTCGGTTGTCACCGCGACTCGTAGTTAGGACTGCCACAAAAATTCGACATTGAATCTTTTCACGCCATCATGACAGTCCCAGAAAATTTCCCATTTGGGGAACCTGAAGGAGGTCTTACTTTTGAGAAGCTTCCGGCTCGGATACAAAATTTGCCAAAATGTCAGCGGATGGCAAAAATGCATTCTTGGTCGTTGAAACGCGCGATACAGATGAATTGATTGGATATGGAGGGTACAACACTTCTGAATCTGTCGACCCGCCCGAGTTCCTTGACCAAACAACACTACAGGGAAGCAAAGCGTACAGGGAAGCAAAGCGTACATGACGGACATCGGCATCATAATCGATCACAAACACTGGCGCAAGGGCTATGGCCTGGTGTTGATCAGCGTCCTCATCGAGTACGCCAAAAACGAGCTTGGATGTCAAGTTTTCAGAGACGGGCGATGACAATGAACCATGGCGAGCTCTCATGCGAGCGGCAGGTCTTGCCAAGTTCGAGGGCTGGCAGAAAGCAAGTTATGACGAGAAGCAGGAGGTTTGGGTCTGGAAGTTTGATGCAGGACATTGGAAACAGGAAAAAGAAAGGATGCAAATAGAGGGAAAGTGACCACTCTAGGGGCTTGTCTCTCTCCGTGACTGTGAGTTCTCGATATGATGATTCTATTTGCTGAGTAGCTTGCAAGATCACTCATCAAAGATAACGCAAACAACTTCGCCCGCAATAGAAATGTTCGCGGCGAACCCCTTCAGAAGACCGGTGCTCACTTCGCGATCAATAATGACCGCCCGTCCGTCCTGCTGCAAACCCACAGCAACTTGAGTGCCAGCTTTATTGATCGAGAACTGGCGGGGAATCATGCCGCCTGACGGGAAGATCTGCGTGAAACCCAGGTGACCGGTCTTGTGATCGATCTTGAAAGTAACAAGGGCGTCGCTCTTGATCTCGGTGGTGTTGGTGGTGTCAAAGTTGGGAATGCTGAAGATGCTAACGTTTCGTGAAGAGACAATGAGATACTCGGAGTCAGGCTGACGAAATATTAGCAACATAACACGTCTCGTGGCGAATCTTCCTCGTCAAGGAATCAGCTTGACTAAAGTACTTACCGAGATGTGGATCTCAGCTGCGGCAGCCCCAACAGGTACCGTGTTATCGGGGCCGTGGGTACCGACGCTGAAGACTTCTGTAAAGCTCAAGGTCTTGTTGCGACCATAGTGAACTTCGTACGTGGTGACAATGTTCCCAAGCTCGGCTAGAACAAAGAAGTAAGTCTTTTCCTTGGCGACGAGGAATCTGGCGTGTCTGGGACCACTGCCAACCGCAACGTTCAGCGGGGTAACCGGCGTCAGTTGGTAGGATTCCTGGTTGATTGCAAAAACCCGAACCAAATCCGCTCCCAAATCCGGCACTAGCACGTACTGCCCCGTGGGGTCAAGGATGGCCTCGTGGGGATGCGGGGCATTCTGTGCCGGCTTCGGTCCTGGCTGGCTCAGCGTGTACGTCCAAGACTGAAGTCTTTTGATGTCGGTCGGGTCCTCCACGGAAAAGACTTCAAAGGACGACGCCGGACTGTCAATTTTGTCAGCGGAGTTCCGCGTTAACTTGCGTAGCGATTTCTGCAAATTCCCCCCAAACCAAGCTTCTTCGGTGACGAAAGTGGAAATCTGTCCGGGGCCAGTGAGTGGGACTTACTAAGAAGCCAAGGCAATGCCTCCACCATTCTTGCCATAGACGACGGAGCTCACAGCCCCCTTGATAGTAGGGAGCTTTCCAAGCAACTCGAGTGTCCCATTCTCAGACTTTTGGAAAGAGACGAGCGTGCCGTTGGGGTTTGTAAGTCCTCGATCGGCGCAGTAGAGCAGGGACTTTGACTGATCGAGAGTGAGCCAAGAGGGGTTCGCCGCGCAATCAGTGTTCGTGGCAATGGCCTTCAAAGTCGTTCCAGATTCCGAAGTCTGAAGATCGAGAGTGGTGACGGTTCCGGCGTGCGAAGCGGCGTATAGGAGGGTCGATGTCACTGGCTTGACCGACATAATGGCCATGAGCCAGGCGGCAGAGAACTTGTCGAACCCCAACATTGCGGATAAGTCAGTTAGCGATAAAGGCCGATACAGACCGATGCTAGCAACTACCATACCGCCGGCGATTCAGTGTCTTTAAAAGCTCCTCCGAAGCCATAGTCGGAAATGCAACCCCTGTACATCACCGAGCTGGGTACCGCATCGTTTTCCGTGCGGGGTTGGGATATCCCTGAATGTGCTGCGCAAATTCCACCTATTAATCTAAATGGCTGGTGGTTAAATCGATTTTACCTTGGAAAAGGAAATTCGCGCTAGCCCACGTGTAGAGTTGGAATAAGCCGTTTGCCGGCGAGTAGATTGAATTCTTGGCAGGGGTTGCGGATAAGGTTCGAGAAAGGATGCTCTTGGCACTTTCGATCTCAAGGGGGAACAAGAGACGAACTGAAGCTTTGACTGATGCACACCAATGATACGACAGCCGGATGCTGCACCAAGGCTTCATCCCACCGGCGCTTCTTGAACAGCCACTTTCTTACTCTTGGATATAAATCAACACTCATCTTCAATAGGATTGCCAAGAAGTCGGTCAATTTGTACGGGCTGAACTGTAAGTTTTCTGAAAGATTCATCTTTGCGACTGTGTATCACCAGTCTTCAAACACTCTGTGGACGACGTTTCAACGTCCGAGAGTCCGTCGCACACTTTGGAGTCGTACACGGAAACTGTCAATGATGTGGGCCGCATCACTTGCGATGGTGAATGGGGTTGCTGTATCTTAAGTCAGTTGCCAAAACAGTTGCGTGGAAAGTAAGTGGTATTGTGCCTCACAAGACAATGAGCCAGAAAAAAGTTGGCAATGTCGTCTATTCGTATGGATGCCTCGGACCAGCAGAACAAGCATCACATGTTTCTTGGCAGCATCATCTACAGTTCTCTGTGTTCTCACTGAACTCTCCCACCGGCATTCGAGGGATGCAGGCGAGGATGGTCAATGAGAAGGGCACAACTCGATGCTTGGCACCAATCTATGAGAAATCGCGGGGCCCCCACAATCGATAACTTTAGTATTCATGATTATGAGTGCGAACAAACATATTGCGTATTGATCAAATTCATCATACTAGTAGGATGCTACTTGTGGAAACTTGGAGAAAGTAAAGAAATTAGTATTGACGCACACGCCGCATGAACCCAGAGCATTAAGAATCCCAGATTGTCCAGGTCCTTGCAATAATTCGCAAATCATAGTCTTAAAGAGGTTGCGATTTCCTCAAATCATCTTGAGCTACGGCACTTGAGGGTATTACTCCAAGTGAATTATGTTGATCCTGCCACCACCTGTGTAATTGTGTGTCACAAATTGCTCAAAACCGCCAGTCTCCGAGACGATGAGTGTTCGGCCTTCCGCACCCTTTGCCCAAACGACTGATGTAGGCGCCAAAATAGCTGTGCTGTTAATGCCGCCGAGAAGAGTCTCCGGGACGGTGGTGTTTGCCCCACGTGGCACAAAGCCAAGAGCGTTTCCGCTAAGTTCGGCGAGATAGATGTCGCCATTGTATTTATTGACAATCAAATCGTCAATTGGGGTCTGGGTTGCCACGATTTCCGGGGTTCCATGGAGGACATCTTCGTTCCCTGAAGCTTTCACACGGGCGACCAACTGTTGGTTGGTGTTGCTGAAATAGAGGTATCCTCTTGAGAGCTTGATGCCGTTGACGCCGAATACCACGCCGCTTGTAGTACCAGGCTTTAGTAAGGGATCATCGTAGTAGACGCCCAATTGAAAGGTTTGGGTGTCGAAACGGTAGATGAATCCCTCGCGCGTATCTGCGATCAGAACGTAGGGCGTTCCAGGAACCGCAATCATCCCATTGGGCTGAGAAATAGCATCCAGCGATGCCAGTTGCTTGACGACCGACTTGTCGCACTTGTCAAATGACAATTTGTGGATCGCGTACGAGCCAGGGGTTGGACTCAAAGTCTGGAAAGAGAAGTTGCCGGTAATGAGGAAGTATTCATCCGAGTTTGGTGATTTGGCAATACTGGAAACGCCATTGGTATTCTCGAAAGTGTGCACAAGCTTTGGCTCGGCATTCGCGACAGGAGCCACTTCGTAGACGCGTGGGAATGTGTAAACGACTGCCAGAATGGAACCCGACGGCCTGACGGCGAGGTTTTCGATCTCAGATCCCAGCGGAAACTCTTGACTCTTTTCCACTCGCAGGGCATTCACATAGACTAGAACGACCGCGAGAAGCCATAGGCAGGCTATCCTGGAAATTGTCATTGAGAGGCTTTTGAAGTGCAAAATTAATCGGCAGAAGGTAGCAGTAATGGCTTGATGAGGCCTTCATAAATGTGATTGTCGAGAAAGGTGGCTGGACTATTTGTATGCGTCTGATTCCCATAGATGCGGATGAACTTCAATCCATCTGTACAGGGCAGGTACAATGGATGAGCCGAAACCCGGGGGTTCGGGAATCCTACCAAGTATCTCGATCTTACCTTAGTGTGATCGCTTAATTTGCGCAACTTAGGCGCGGGGCCTGTACTTCTTGGTGCCAGCAATGAAAGAGATCAACGTGGAAAATGTAGTATTGAAGATAAGAGCCATGGGCTTTTGCTGAACACGTCGGAGTCAGGCGTGTTGGATTTGATTCCCTTCCTACGACTACCGAGTTAGGTGCGGAGGTTGCCATACTCTCGAGAATACGAGTGGCTGGAGACAACCTCGTCGGTTCAAGTCATCAGTCTCACCAGCGACTCGACGAGGCATATCGGATTTCGGACATATAGGTACATGAGCGTTGCAGCGTGGGCAAGACGATTGCAGGAGCTTTGTAGCTACATGTACTTGACTTTTCGCGTACCGCTGTTGAATTCTGACTAGCAGGCTACACTACTATCAATCAGAGTGTGTTTGCCCATGCTGACGTGGGATAGCTTGAGTCGATACTTGCATGTACGCTAGGCACTATCCTCAAAACGGTCTCCGTAAGCCAAGCAGATGGATTGTTATCCCATGTCTTAATCTGCAGGTCGCCGGAATTCTACATGTCTAGGGATCTGATTACAATGTGAACATATCGGCTAATCTGTCGTGAAACCAACGAGTAGGCTCCGAAAAAACTCGAATCCAGTCTAAAGAGATTGGAAATCACGCATGCTCGACGATCCTGCAGAATGACTTCCTTAAGAGATTAAAAGGTGCAGAAAATGATCATATTATCTAGCAGTGCTGCAATAACTAGGGCCTTCATTCACTACTTCCTTTCTACCTCAAGAGAGGCCAAGATAAAAGCTGACTCTCCGAGAAGACTGTTCGGCAAAAGCGGTTGGTGAGTATAGTACTCGTATGACGCCGTAGAGTTGAGACTGCACACAGCGACTGTCTTGTTGTACCCGATCGTACCGTTACCAGTATCGACAACAAAGTTTCGGGTGGTATAGTCGTAAGCTTTCAAAGCTGCCTTCTTGAAGTCTACCTTCGAGTTCGACAGAAGTCCAAGCCTCTCGCCCTTGAGCATAGAGAACATAAATAAGGCCGTGCTAGAGCTCTCCAGATAGTTGCCGCTGCGTCCCGGGAACGTTGTTAATTGCCACCAGACGCCGGTCTCGGGGTCGGCGTAGCGGATGAGAGACGTAGCCAATTGCGTCGTCATGTGTTGCAGTTGCTTGCACACAGCCTTGGCCTCGTGCTTGCCAGCGGGACAATCGAGAGCTTCCCACGTCTGAACCAAACCTGCTACGAACCAGCCTACGGCGCGGCCCCATACATACGGGCTCGCGCCCGTCTCTTTGTTTGCCCAGACGGAAGTCTTTGAGTAATCGTACCCGTGGGCGACCAAGGAGGTGTTCTTCTGGAAGCAGTGTTCGTAGAGCAGCGAAACCTGCAAGCTGATGTCGGTGTAGTTAGGCTGGGGTTGCGCAGCCATGAATGGAAGTACAGAGAACATGCCATCCAGGTAACTCCATTGAGGGTAGACGTAGTACCAGAAGCCTCCAACAGGATTGCGGATTTGAAGCGACAGAGATTCGTTGATGGCTTTCGATGCTGCTGATGCCGTGTCCGAAATCGTCGCGATTCCCGACTTGGAAATAGCGTTGATGGCGTTTGCAACCGAGAAGCGGTCCAGAGGTCGGGTTGCGACGTAAGTTGCGTTGACCAAATTGGGAGTGCCCTCGTTTAGAACTTCCTCCAAGTAAGGGACATATTGGTCCTTAAGCTCCGGGTATTGCTTCAGTGCAGCCTCCATGGCGATGGATAGAATGCCCGTTTCCAGGAAACTGCTTGATTCACCAGACGAGATGATGCCCTGCTTGCGCGCCTTGATGCTGTCCAGCATCCAGGTCGAGTATCGTCGGTCTTCGCAACTTGCGACAGTCGCCAAGCCGCAAAGGGCCAATGGCCAGATCGTAAGGTGACGACGCATCTTGAGGAGTACGATAGATCACGAATGGGAACAATTCGGGATCTGGTAGACGCATCAAGCCCTATTTTCCCCTTCAACCCCGCTGCCGGCGTCGCTGACGCTTTATATGCCGTTAATTTTCGTATGAGTCAAGCTAATTGCACTGCTAATTATTGCCGAAGCCTATTTGTTTACCCGGCTCGTCATTGGGCCTTTCGCCAATGCGTCAATCATTCCCCTATTGAATGTTTCCCCCATGCCTGCCGGTACTTCCGCGGGAAACTTCTGGACCCATAGTGCATTGACCATGAAGATTTGATAGCTGATGACTTCGCGTACCAAAACTTTGTTACGGAGGCTGCAGGGAACCGCAAAAGAGTCTTGATTGGTTAAGATGCTACATGTCCTATGTTCCTACATTCGCATCTTGGTCAATTCAGAACGGCTGAGCGATGTTGGAGTAAGATCAAATAGCAAAAGTTGGTGGTCTCACTACAGTACTCAGCAGATCGAGTTCGAAGGATCCATCTCTGTGCTGGGCAGTAAAGTTTCAACGGCCGGGGCCACAATCTTGGACGCGAAAGATTTCCCGGTGTGGGTTGAGCAGTGAGCACAGAGGGGTAAGTTCGCCAAGGATCCATGGGGGGAAACAAGAAAATCCTTCCTTAACCCAAGGCTTAACCGGAAGCTTTCCGTCCACTCAGCTCGAAATGCATGCAACAGCTTGTGAGGTATTCTTAATTGAATGATGTAGAGCTTAGAGACGACCTCGCCTGGTGGTCAACTATGTGCAGGTTTCCCCGGTCTCTGCTTTGCTCTGTACACGCAAGCTTAAAGACGTACCGCCAGTGGGAGACGGATTCTAATGGAGTGACGCTCAACGTCTTGAAGAGGAATGTGGAGCAACCATGCGCAATGTCCCTATCACCGAGAAAATCCCTAGACGCCAGCTTCAAAGAGTGAACGAGACAACCAAGTTGAGGCTAGTGCCAAGTCTATTACATGGCATTCTACTAAGGTAGAAACATGTACACACGGTTTTTCGAAGTTGGCTTTTTCAAACATCTGTAACCTATTTTCACTTGTTCAATCTTCAAGTTGATCTCGTTCGAAGATGGCCATCCTATCGTCGCATTATCTGCTTAATATCGCAACTTGACTCGGCGAATATTTTCATGTAAGTCGACTTTGGTTTCTCTTGCACAGAAGGTAACATTATAGGCACAGCAATTGTTCAAAGGTTTTCGAATGCACAAACGACAATTATGTATATTTATGGCAGTTATAACGACGCATCCAAGACGCGCCAATGACAACTCGAGGTTCGGGCCCCCACCTCCCCGAGCACAGTGGCTTGATTCGGAAACAACAACTGGCCGATTGGATTCCTGGCTCCTGCAAGTTGTCAGCAGTGATCAGCCGCCGACTCAATTCCGATCAACATGAAAGGCAGCTCGGTAAGATAAGCAATTAGGTTAGCTGTACGGTAATGAAAAGAAACCTCCACTCAGAGCCTTGCAGTGAAGGAGACATGCCGCAGCATGCATCATCCGCTCACACTTGCAACGTAGCCAGGGTGATCAGGCTGCGACAGGAAGACGAGAATGGATTTAAAAAGGCTGCAACCTAGTCGAAAAGCGAGCATCAACAAATTTCCGGGCATCATTGATTCTCCACTTTTCTCTTGCCATGGCTGCTTTGAGGTCTCACTTGGTTGCACTTCTGGTCGTTATTGGCTTCGCGCGGTGCTTACAGACGCAGACCAGTGCCAAAATCCAGAGCCAAATCGAGGCGAATGAGAATGACCAAAAAGCGTTGAACACCATACACGCTCGCGCCTGGCTCATCTGTTCGAGGGACCACCGACATTCTGTGGGGTTGTTTTATCACCCTGACCATTTGCGTTCTTACGGTGCTTCATTTGAATATCAAGCACTCTTCGACATGGAACAAACTGCAATGGGTTGCTATAACCTTATTCGCACCAGAATTCATCCTCTTGCTTGCCTCCAGGCAATTCATCGAAGAATTCTTGCTTAAACGGAAACTCAACCTCTTGCTGTCAGAGAATGTCCGTAACAACAGCAGCACTCCCAAAGTGAGCACCGCAATCCTCAACCGAACCCGGAAGAAGATGAGAGATTCAAGCTAATAAATAGTTTGGCGCCTGTTCTCAGAAGCCATACGACCTGAAGGCCTGCTTCTTCGCGGTAATGGAAGGCTTCGAAGCTCTAATTGCCGACATAGAGCCAGGAACTGGAGTTGTACGAGACAATGACTATGATTGGACACAGAATTTGACGCTATCAACAAGAGGCATCCTTGAACTGGCAAAACTTGGTGACTTCATCGAAGTTGATATAGCTAGTCTGGAAGATCGAAGTAAAGCCACCCTTTTACAGAAGTTCCTAGTGTCAACCTAAGTAATATGGATGGCGATACAGTGCATTGTAAAGAAGAGACTTAGGTTGCCGATAGCGTTGCTCGGAATTCATGTTATGGTACACGTGATTTTCGCTCTGTTACTCTATGGATTCTGGTTTTACGTAAGTGCTTATTGCCGCCTTGCTTTCGGATCTCAAAGAGATTTACAAAGTCATGTAGATTACTAATCTGGAGCTAATAGAAGCCCTTAGGTATCGAGTAGACGCAATCTATCACAGTGGAAAGCGAGAAGGTCAAGAATGCCCTTTCTTTCATGATTCAGTGCCAGTTCTGCCACTTGCAAAACGAGACTGCAATTTCTATCCTGACCGACGAGATGACCGGGCCATAGTTCCGAGCATAGTGGCTAAGAGGAGCTTTGGGAAACAAGACCCTCGAAGTAGTCGATGTAACATCGCCACCAACCAACAGGATGAACAGCTACCTGTTGAATGGATCACTCCGACAACGGATGGCGTTCGCGTTAGTGAAGGCCAGGCTCTGCCCTGTGGAGTAGGCTGCCTCCAAGCAGGTCTTGTCTTCGGGCGTGAAACGAGTTGACTCGCAGAGGAGAGAAGCATTCTTCTCAATGCTTCAAACATAACGAGGACTGAAATAGCCCCTTACACCTGGAATCGAAACGACAGAATTCCTTGGCAGCTCCTGATGTTGACCCATTCTGGGACAAGACTTACAGTCAATGTTTTGTGTTAAGGGGCAACATGCGCGAGACTCTTTCGACATTCCAAGATAGTTTCAGCCATCTCGCAGAGGGTGACCCCCATGAAGGACTGGGGTCAACCACAGAGGTTTTTCGCTTCCTTCTCTCCGCTATCGGCGAGGAGATCACTGGGTACAATTTGCTAAGAATCGGTGCTTTCTCTATAATCTGCGGAGGTATCCATCTTTCGGCATGGAACTATGACTTTGCCTCGCGACAGGAAGGGATTATGTGGAAGGTATCCTGTCTCATCATCATCGTGTTTATACCTTGGATCGGGCTTTATTTCTTGTTCTTTGCATATGTTGGAAGACCATTGCGGGCTATATCGACCATGACTTACGGACGGAAGAAGTTCAGAAATCACCCTTGTCAGTAGGCTCTTGCATGGCGAGGATATGCATTCTGGGGTTTACAGTTTCGTTTCTTGCTGGAGTTCACTTTGTTGCCCGAGTTTTCATCGTTGTTGAGGCTTTCATCAGTCTTAGGCAGGTCCCTATCGGTGTCTACTCGATGCCGTCTTGGATCCAGATGATTCCTCACCTTTGACACGCTTGCGAGGACAAGGAGACTTCGACATAATAGAATTCTGCATGACCCGAGTCATGATTTTGTGATATTTCAAACCAAGAAGACTTGATCACAAATACACATGTGCTTAGAATGCGTTTGGTGGGTCAAAACTTTAACTATGTGAGTCCGAATCCCCATCCATTTGATCCGCCGGTACCCAGCTATCTATATCTGGCTTCTCTTTAATGTTGATGACACAAATCTAAGTCGGTCCTGCAAACTGCAGACAGTACGTCTATGTATAGGTCTTCCGTTATCATCCACCGCGTGATACAGTCTGTCAATCAGGAGGCCTAGTCGTTTCGTCCGAACTCGTACTAAACTATGAAGCACATGAAGCTCATCCTCTTTGTCTAATGTCCCTTGGCTCAACCTAAATGCTGGGTGCGACGTAAAATTGACGCTGCCGCTCCTGCTGCTAGAGCGTCTCCCCGAGTCACCATGGGAACTGGATGTATCCGAGTCATCATCTGCAGAAATGATGTCATCGTCTACGCAAAGCTTAGGGACCAAATACTCGACACCACCAAGCATCATATCGCACATTGATACGAGCAAGGCGACAAACTCCGGACGTGTGGAATGTGTGTGGCAGTCGAAGAAGGAGTCGAGGCCCTCCATAGTTCGCTTCAAGGACCGCAGCATTTCTGCGGGTGACGCAGGAGCTTTGCTTCGTATACTCCAGAGAAGGTTAGAACTAACGTCCTCATGCTGCAGAAAGACTCGCGCGTAGCATGAACATGAGAGACTATCTTGTTCCGGGTGTTGCTTCGATGGATTGTGTCGAGAACGCTGGCTATTTCGAGGCCACTCCTGATTATGACTTGAAGACTCCCGTATGTGCTTCCTCCGCCTTTCGACATGGGCTATAGACCTCTCTGTATCTGAGCCTAAAGAAATCACTCTGGGCCAGTCTGAGGCATTGAGACAGGAAAGTAGCGGGTCTATTCGAGGTGAGTTCGATGGGCTGTTGAGTGTTGTCTTCATGAAAGGCTGATTCCCTGTACGACAGCAACGTTAATGTTCGAACGGCTTCAATGCTGGCCGACTAACGGCAAGCGAAATAGAAAATTAGCTCACCACTAGCTTTCATAAAGCTATCGAGGGCATTCGTTGATAGCATGCCATCTAATGTCTCGGCTTGAAAGGGAGAGAAGGATCTTGGCTGGAAGACCAAGTGATCAATGTTTTCCGGGTCATTCAGATCTTGGTCTTCCTCCGTGATTATGGCATTGTCGGCGGTCGAGTTATCTTCCCTTTCCCAAGGGGACATAGAAGGTGTAAAATCGGCAATCGTCAAGCGCCTCTTTGAATTGGGATTCGAGGTTTCATAATGGCAGTCGAAGCCGTTGGCTCTGCACCGACCGCATCCTTGTTTCTCGCCGCTGCATTTCAGCTACAAGTTTACAAGCAACGTTAGTTATCTGTCATACTTTTTGTGATCGATATATTCAGAAAGAAAAGCCGAACTCCGCGCACCTTTTTAATCCGACAGTGTTTGCAGGCGTTGCGGGTAAGCGGGCCGCGGCGCCGCTTAGTTGCGGTTGTTGAGTTCTTCACTTCCCTAGAGTCGCCTTCATGACAAGTCGTCCGAGGCATATCAAAGTCAAACGGAAAGTCTTCAATAGGCAGAGACTGAGTTGCGGTTGCCATTGTTCAATGAGTCGAAGTTGAGAGTGCGGCTAAGATCGATGGAATTCGAATCGAGATTGCGACGGCTTGTGTTAGTCTTTTTGGGTAACAAGACATCGCTTTAGACAAAGCCAATCCGCCGATGAACCGACGACTGGCTACCGGTCAGGGATGGAGGGCCGGCAATATTCTAGAAGCGGCAGAAAATTAGCGTGAACCTGTCTCGTCGGTAAAATGGCATCTTAGTAGTGTGTCAATATAGTTTCAACCTCTAAAGTCTGTTGGCATGGCCCAATAAAGCATGAGCGGCGGGTGAATGCCCCACTGGCCGATAGGGCAGTTAGAACATGCGGAGATTTAATCTTGGCATCCCGGGGAGTTTTGACGGCAGGGCCTGTCATTGTTTCTGGCCCGGCCACTTTCAGTTGACATGACAAAATTTGAGACGAGTCAGATTTATAGACGCGTAGAAGCTGCTACGCGACAGGATTAAGCGATGTAGCTAGACCTGGTCTCTATAACATATCTCAGAGCAACGAATATAATTTCATGGTGCGAATAGTGAGGACAATGAGATCCTGGGCAATGTAGAAATTTGATGGTTGATCGCATACTTTACAGCTTAGGTGGCTAAAAAGCAATCCCGAATACAGTTGCGAGGTATTAGAACATAATTAACATGATCCAGCAAAGTATCAACTTCGGATAGAGGGCTCTTGCGAACAAACAAGACGGCGGATAATATTCGACAAACACAAGCCTTCAGCGGCATCCCACTGCAGGGCCCTCTTCCGCGCTTCGCCTCAACGCAGTTCACATAATGCACCAGCCGCGTCGCAGAAGTAAAGTCTCCTACGGTCAAAAGTTTCTTGGCAGAATGTCTGCCACCGGCAGCATTGAGCAATAGCCAGAACAAGGCCTGCTTCAGTCTTAGGACAAGTCTCAGTGGAAGGTACTCCAACAATGTCAGGGTCTTCCCCGCAGTAAACGTTATACGAAGGGTCGTTTCAAGCCTAGGACCTCGGACTGATGCATTGTATTTGCACAAATTATGAGGAGACAAGATGCTCTGATGGGTATGCATGGTTACGCCAGGCTTATGTGCATGCTGCCCACCTTCCGTGTTTGGTTGCAATATGCAGGCGAAGTACATACATAATGTGCGGAAAGCCTCCACTACGTGCACGGCTTTGTTTAGCCACAAGCTTCAAGGCTGGATGAAGGTTTGCCTCATCGCTTGACTGGCTTGAGATACACATTTAGAGACGGCTTTTGCCACACGATATAAACTTTTTGACCCTTTATCCAGTCACTGCCCTCGTCCGCTAGCTTCAGATCGAAGCTGAACAAAATCCTTGCTAGGATAAGACGCATCTCAGAGTATGCGAGGTTGCGACCGACACAGTCTGCGTGGCCCATGCTGAAAGGTTGGAATGCGTCCAGCCTATCCTTCGAGAAGCTCGGATCTCCGAGGAAACGCTCGGGATGATATTCTAAGGGTTTAGTAAAGTTCAGTTCGTTATGATACATCGCCCACTGCCAAGTAGCGACAAGACACTGTGTCAGAATGAAAAGAGTCAGCACTTTGCTGGGAATGAAGCAGGGCATTATTCAGTAGAGGGGTCACTTACACCTTCGGGTACGATATTGCCATCAATGATAGCGGTACCATGCGTGACTCGTCGGGGCAACCAAGAAGGAACTACCGGGAACACACGCAGCGCCTCGTCCAGGCAGGCCAACATGTAAGGGAGTTTGTTGACGGATAGAAGAGTAATGTCTGACGGATCAGAAAATGAAGATCTGACTTCTTCTACAACTTTCTGATATGCCTCAGGATTCGATAGCAGAAGGAACGAAGTTGCCGTGAGCAGCGTCGCTGTGGTCTCTGACCCAGCCGCGATGAGAAGCGTCGAATTCTGGACAAGGCGATCCATGTCAAGCTTCTGCTCTCTCTGATTAGTCCCGCTCTGCTCTGGTATCTGAGACAATATGATCGCACGTCCAACACTGAGAAAATCAGGGGCGAGAAAAGGATCGAACGTACCATTCCTTCTTTGTTATTGAGCAGGGACTCAATGATATCTGCTTGTTTACCCGACTGAATGCGACTTTGTAACTTCTGAATCGTGTAACCCATAAATTCCAACTTGTTCTTGGCGAGTATCTTCATGATAATAGCTGTGATAAACCTCAATCCCTGCCGGTTCAGCTCACCGATCCACTCAATCTCTTTCTGCTGAAATGCAATGATCTTTACCCAGGGATGATATTCTGCTGACTCGAGGCATCCAAAAGAGCTGGAGAAAGCAAGTTCGCCAAGGATGTCGAAGGTGCAGAAGTTAACTGACAGCCTAATGTTAGCATCAGACGGAACTTCGATGTAATCCCAGCACTCACACCAGTCACGGAGATCAAGCGCGCGGGTACCATCATCGCAGTTCTCATGAAGTCGCTTGAGAAGCAAGTCAACGTAACCGCCGATCATCGGTTCTTGCTCCTTCATGCCACGATCCGAAAAATACGGTGAAACCCACTTGCGTAGTCTCGCGTGTTCCTCGGGCCCAGCGTTCAGCAAGCTAATGGGTCCTTCCGGTCCTTCACGGTAGTACTCGTATGCTTTCTCAAATTGGCCGCGACGACGCATGCCGTAGATGTCCTTCCAGGCGTTTCCTTCGATGAAGCCAAGGTTATTGGGCCCCATTCTGACGACTGGGCCGTACTTCTTGAACAAGGATTCTGCATAGAATGGCAGCTGCCCTTTCACTCCTGCAATCACAAACGGAAGGTTTGTCAAGCGGTTCAGAATTGGACCTGGATATTTATTGAGCGGATGAAAGAAAGCCCTGTAGACCGCTAAACAGGACAAGTACGCCGCAAACTAATTCTGTCAGCCAAGTATAGACCTGGAGTGCTTGCGGTATCTCACCAGACCGGATATCAAGACCGCCCAGCGGCTGACCCCTTCAAGTTCAGCAATGCATGAGAAGAAAGACATTGTGAATAAGGATCAAGAGACAAAAGGTCGTGCATGCAACACGTCGCAAGTTCTTTGCCCCTGTAGAACTTATTGATTGAAGATGATAACCGCGGATTGCCAATTTTATTCAGTTGAGGTGAGGTAGGTGAGCTCGAACAAAACGAACAAATGGCACAGGACCCTTTCGCAAGATAACATCAAGCTGCATTTGGACACGTTGGATATGTTTCAACTGGCTAAATTCGCTGTCCTTCATGCTTGACGGAGGCTTTCGCTCTCTTGCCACGCGTTCTCATCTTTAATCGCTCTGGTACCAGTATTAGCAACTGAATCCGCACGCCATGCGGGAGAGCTTTTCGGATCTGAAACTTGGCACCGCGTCTCCAGAGTGTTGTGTCGATCGACTCCGGCGTCTTTCCAGCCAACTTAACCGGCATATTGAACCAAGATGTCGGTGCACCGTAACTTGGTGGCCAAGGGTCAAGGACGAACAGAAGCCGAATGATGGGAGCCTAGGTATGACCTGCCCACGGCTTGTCTCAGAAACTATAGGCTGAGATCTGATAGGGTACCGTAGAGAGGCATTTCTGATTCATAGCAGGACAAACATATGTCTCCGATCTCACGGACTTCTCCTCCGGCAACATATCAGCTGTCTCCGGCACGTAATTCGAGTCGTGAGATGCCTCACCAAAGCGAACCACAAGCATAATGAGCCGGCATTTTAGGTTAGCTGGCCGCATATCATAGTTGCGCGCTTGGAGACGTAGCATGTTCGTAAGTGAATGACTCGTCTTCATTGCACTAGCAAATAATCATTGGCGATCCCGCATATGCCTCACTCTCATTGGAAACCTAATGCTTGACTGAGGATCAAGATCCAAGTACGGATGACGGGAGGTCTTGGCGTCCCAGAAGCTGAGGCGTTCCGCAGGCTCGGGCGCCATTCAGCCTCTCGCTTCGGATTCTGGAACATTGACTTTGCTTATGGCCGATGCAGATCATATTTGCCATGTTAAGCATCGATATTCTAGTTTCGCCGCGTCACCACTTTCTCTGTACGAGCACCAACCTGGCTGGTGCCCGGCGGAGGAGTCCGGAGCCAGGCTTTGGCCACCTCTTGAGCCACATACGGGCGTTCGGGAATCGCCGCCGGCTGGCTGTCTCAACCTGAACCATGATTCTTAGAAACCTTGGTCCAATCGGAGGTTTCATGAAGACAACAGAATGACACTCCCTACTAGTTCCAGGTCACTTTCCTAATTGGGACATCGGTATCCGTACAGGCTCTACTTCTCGTGGACACTCTTACGTATCAGGGTCACTAGATGTTGACAGATAAGTGAGTCTGTCGGCGATAATGAGATGGCTGTCTTGAACTACAACTTAAGGTCTCCGGCAATTGAGAGAAACTACAGATACACATGAATATCATCGTAGCTCCTTATCTCGGATGTTGCAAAAGGCCGGTTGTGTCGTCCTAGCTACTTCACCCATCACAGCGATTCTTTTGGCGCTGCAAATGAAAAACGCTTCTCTCATATGACTTCAGGAGCGCCAGTAATTTCTTTCCATTATTGATGCCCAAGATGGCAGACTCACAGAAGACTATTCTATTTTTTGGTGATCAGACCGATCCGTGGGTCGATGGCATCGACTACATCATGAAGCAGGCTGGCCTGGCGCCATGGCTTCAGGTTTTTATGAGTGATCTGTGCAAGAAGGTCAAATCGGAGCTCAAAAACTTCGAAAGCGTTATCACAGACAGTCTCGGAGACTTTTCAAGCATCTACGAATTGGCTGAGAAATACCGCCACTCAGTCGACGAGACTGGCGTTGCTAATGCAATCCTCATCTATACAATGAGAGCAGCAATGCTCCTCCAGTATGTCCCAAATCCTCAGTGATATTCAAGCACAATATACTGACATAGATTTAACAGATGCATCAGGCGTGAACCCAATCTCTTAGCAAAGTCTGATGACGGGCCCGAGTGGCTAGGCATTTCAGGAGGTCTTATGAGCCTATCACCATTGGCAGCTGCCAAGGACTTTGATACCCTCTACGCCGGCTGTCTTGAGGCAGCTGGTCTCTTGTGTAGGGTCTGCAAATTTTGCTACATCCAGTCAAGAGCTACAGAAGATTGCTCTGGAACATGGGGTTGGGCCGTCCTAGGGATCTCGAACGAGGACCTTCGCTCTGCTCTGGAGCAATTCCAGACGAACCTGGTAAGTTCTAAATCCTCCTTGTAAACAAACCTCCTTGAATGGATCTTCTAACTGGCTTGAAAGGGCATTCCAACCGCGAAGAAGGCACAAGTTGGTGTCACTGGAGACCGCTGGGCTAGCATCATCGGTCCACCATCCATCCTGGAGCAATTTCTGAACGAGTGCCCAGCTGTCAGTGGCCTCCCAAGAAACAAGCTTAATATCAGATCCCTTCAACACGCTATTCCAATGACCTCAGCTGACCTAGACTATGTGATTGGGGAGTCTGCTCTTGTCAAAAGTCAACTCGACTCACAACACAGAGTCTGGGGTACCGACGATCCGTCAGCTACATATGAGACGTTTGGCGATTTGCTACGAACCGCGGTTTCGCAATCTGTGTCTCAGCCTCTGGACATCGTAGAGGTCGTTGCCGAAATGAATAAGCATCTTGGATCTTGCCAGCAAGTCGACATCAAAGTCATCGGCACCAGCAGTCACACTTCCTACCTTACAACAGCATTGAAACAACAGGGAAGAACAATCAATGTCCAGCATGAAATAGGCGCCAACCAGAGGAATCAGCAAGATCGACCGTCTGATCGCATAGCAATTGTTGGCATGGCTGGAAGAGGCCCTGGCAGTGATGACCTAGATGAGTTCTGGAACGTTCTCATGACTGGTCAAGATCTCCATCAAGAAATCCCTCCGGATCGGTTTGACCTCGATGAGTTCTTCGCAGCAGAGCATAGCCACGATGGCGTCAAATGCACGACGGCGGCTCGATACGGTTGTTTCATGAAGAAGCCCGGAGAGTTCGATGCTCGGTTCTTCCGCATCTCTCCTAGAGAGGCAATGTTTATGGACCCTGGCCATCGACAATTCCTCATGAGTTCATATGAGGCTCTTGAGACAGCTGGGTATTCTGACGGCAAGACTAGGGATATTGACCCGAATAGAATTGGTGTCTTTTACGGACAAAGCAATGATGACTGGAATGCTATGGCACATCATTTGAAGGGATGTGATGCATATACACTGCAGGGAGCACAGAGAGCATTCGGAGCTGGCCGTCTTGCCTTCCAGATGAACTGGGAGGGACCAACGTATTCTTTAGATTCGGCATGCGCGTCAACTTCATCTTCCATCCATCTCGCCTGCATGAGCTTAATATCAGGCGATATCGACATGGCTGTCTCTGGTGCTGCAAATGTCGTCGGATATCCTCATTCCTGGACGAGTCTCAGCAAATCTGGTATCTTATCCAACACTGGCAATTGCAAGCCATTCCGCGAGGACGCCGATGGCTATTGTCGAGCTGACTTCGTCGGAAGTGTGGTGCTCAAGAGACTTGACGACGCCATCGCCCACAATGACAATATTCTTGCTGTCATTGGGGGCTCAGGGAGAAACCATAGCGGGAATTCTCCGTCCATCACGACCTCGGATGCCGGCGCGCAAGAACGGCTTTACCGCCAGGTCTTGAGGCGATCTGGCGTCCTTCCAGACGAGATATCTTATGTCGAGATGCACGGGACTGGAACCCAGATTGGTGATCCCGCTGAGATAGGTGCGGTGTCCAACGTCTTCAAACGTCGTCGTGGCGATCCTTTGATAGTCGGATCTATCAAGGCCAATATTGGCCACAGCGAAGCCGTAAGACCACCCGAATGTTGCCAATTAGGGATTCTTTGAGCTAATGAGATTTCAAACAGGCTGCTGGAATATCATCGTTGCTCAAGTGTGTCCTGATGTTCCAAAACGATACAATTCCGCCACAAGCAGGCATGCCTCAGAAGCTGAACCCCAAGTTCCCTTCGCTTGAAGACTCCAAGATGTCGATCCTCTCCGAGGCGAGGGATTTCAAGCCTGTGGGAAATAACACGAGACGGGTGATGCTGAACAACTTCGACGCAGCGGGTGGTAACGCTTGTCTGCTTATCGAGGACTATAGACCTACGTGGTCCGTGGACGAGGGCGTGCAAGTACCGTGGTCGAACCACGTCATTGTCACGTCCGCTAAGACGCAAGTATCGCTGCGTTCCAACCAACGCAGGCTTCTTCAATATCTTCAGGCGAATCCCACCGTCCGTATTCAAGACGTTGCTTACACAACTACCGCAAGGCGAACGCATCACTCGCTCAGATCCACATACACCGCATCATCGACATTAGAACTCATTGCCAAATTGAGATCAGACATTGATGCCCAGAATGATGTCACAAAGATCAAGCCTTCCGTTTCCAAGCAGGTTGTCTTCGTTTTCACTGGTCAGGGTTCCCATTATGGCGGCATGGGCAGTGAGCTGTACAAGACAAGTCATGTCTTCCGGGAAGTGGTTGATCACTGCGTCAAAATTTGCGCTGATTATGGCTTCCCATCGTTCTTGGACATCATCACGAAGCGTGCCACTGACACATCCACGAAGATCTCTGCCCAGATCCAGCTTGCCGTCTTGACTTTGGAGATTGCCTTGGCTTCTGTGTGGCGTTCAGAAGCTGGCATTGTGCCGTCCGTTGTTATGGGCCACTCCCTCGGCGAATATGCCGCTCTTCACGTTGCTGGCGTACTCTCTTTGACCGATGTGCTGTATCTGGTCGGGAAACGTGCAGAGTTGCTCAGCGAATTATGCGAGACTGGCGCTTGTGCAAGTAAGTAGACTCGAGCTCGAAGCAGTACGCCGGAAGGATAACTACTAACTCGCTGGCGCCTCTAGTGTTAGCAGTAGCTGCATCCTTTGAGGTCACTCAGGACTATATTGATGCCAGAAAAGACGGAATCTGTTCGATATCTTGCTCTAACAGTCCACGCACCACCGTTGTCGGTGGATTGCAGGATGATGTTGAGCAGCTTGCAGCGGACATGGCAGAATTCCGTCCTAAGTTGCTACCGGTACCATACGCCTTTCATTCCTTCCAAATGGATCCCATTCTGGATCAATTCGTCACTCTCGCTCGAGGAGTAACGTACTCGCCGCCCAGGATCCCAGTTGCTTCTACTCTGCTTGCGAAGATTGTTGATTCCTCCGGAACCTTTGATGCAATCTATATGGGCCAGCAAACTCGTCAGAGAGTGCAGTTCACAGACACTATTGCGGTTGTCAAGGAACATCTAGGTGATGTGGTGTGGGTCGAACATGGTCCAAGCCAAGTCTGCGGTTCCTTTGTACAGGCAACCTTGGGTTCTGCCGTGTCTTCCGGCTCCATCATGTCGACGCTCGACAAGTATGCTGACAATTGGATGTCTATCACAAAATGTCTTGCGAAGCTTTACGATCAAGGTTTAGAGATCGACTGGCTCCGACTATATCGCCCTTACTCAAGTAGCGTCCAGCTGTTGACGCTCCCGACGTACGCGTGGGACTTGCAAGATTTCTGGATCACTTACACCGAGAAGGGCGACGGGGTACGCGGAAGCCTCGCGGCTGATTCCCAGGTCGGCCCGAAGCAAATATCTACCTGTGCGCAGAGCATTGTTGCAGAGAGGTCGACGAGCAGTGAGTCCGAGGCTACTTTCAGGGCCCTCATTGCCGATCCAGGGATGGATGCCCTCATCGAAGGCCATCGGATCCGCGACATGGCAATTTGCCCCGGAAGCGTGTTCTGCGATGCTGCTTCTACTGTTGCCAAGCACGTGTTCGAAGGCATGGGCATGACGCGGGATATGAAGCAGCCTGCGCTGACGATCCGCAATCTCTCACTACGGCGTCCACTGCGCAAGAAGGTTAATGGATCGACTGAGGAACTTGTCACAACTGCGAATGTGAAGAAGCTCACTAATGATCTTGCTACAGTAACTTTTCACTCATCTGAGCAAACTCTGGGCAGCTGCACAGTCTCCATATGCGAGGCGGACTCCATCAAAGCTGGTTGGGAGAAGGTATCATTCTTCATCCAGGCTAGGATGGATGACGTGATCAAGAGCGCCAAGGAGGGACGTGGCCACAGGATCCAGCCAGACATATTCTACGCGCTCTTTTCAAACACAGTCAGGTACTCTCCATCTTTCAAATGCGTCAAGGGAGCATATGTCTCCGATGATTTCCAGGAGGCTGCCGCAGAGATCGTCCTGGGCTCTGATCCTATCGGAACCTGCTTCACCTCGTCACCATATCATGGCGAAAGCCTAGTGCACCTGGCGGGTTTTGTGCTTAACGCCAATCCAAGTCGACCGCGTGCCTCTGATACCACGTTCATGATGGACAATCTTGAGAGCGTTGAGCTACCAGATTTCGGAGCTCTAGTGCCGGGTAAATCATACCTTACTCTCGCCAGAGTCTCACGCAGAACCGAGGACTCTGCAACTTGCGATGTCTGGGTCTTTGACTCTGACTCGTCGGAAATGGTGATGCAATGTTCAGGTTTGCGGTTTCACGAGGTCAGCAACACTGTTCTAGACCGGCTTTTGGGAAAGACAAGAGTATCGGTTGCAGCACCTGGCGATTATCAACTTCCGACGAACACGAATGTGGCGGCAGTAAGGGCTCCACAACCTTCCGCCAAGAAGCATGCCTACAGTCGCTCAGACGCCTCAGAGATGACCAAAGTTGAAGAGGGTTTGAGCTCACAGAATGAAGTTTTTGCTTCTATTCTGGAGAGCATCTCAAGAGAGACAGGCACAGACTCGGCGCAACTCACGGATGACACTGCTACGGCAGATGTTGGGGTTGATTCCATCATGGCCATTGAGATTACCGCTGCTGTCAAGAAGCAGACCGGCATCGATCTTCCGGTGTCCACTCTCATCGACTATCCGACGATTGGTGACCTGCGGAAGGCGTTTGGCGATGCAATTGGAACGACCGAGACTATTCACTCCTCGTCATCCTCACAGGCATCGACCTCTCCGCCGTCTGTCAGTGAGGAGGAGATGTCGGATGAAAGTCTGTCTACTAGCTGCCCGACACCCGAGATCCCCTCTCACTGGGTATTGCTCGATCAGAAAGATGTTGAAAAGCCAGTCGTTACTTCAATCTCGATACCGGAGAGTGAATCACTATTGCCAAATAAATCGGTTTCGCCTTCTGTGACGAAGAAGCAGCAAACAATCTCTCCACCACCGAAGGCGCGAGTAATCCTACTTCACGGCCGTTCGAAACCAGATCAGACGCCGTTGTACATGATCGCCGACGGAACTGGTACGATTGCTAGCTACATTCATCTGCCACCCTTTAACACTAAGACGGCAATTTATGGTGTTGACTCGCCCTTCATTCGCTGCCCAGAGCGGATGAACGCCGAGGTTGGCATTGAAGGAGCCGCGAAGTTGATTGTTGATGCCGTGATTGAGTCTCGGCCTCAAGGCGCACTGTACATTGGCGGTTTCTCCGGTGGCGGCATGCTCGGGTATGAGGTCTGCCGTCAATTAGGTGACCTCGGTCGTCAAGTCGATGGCCTACTGATCATTGACATTTGCTCACCACGCACCAAGACCGAAACTAGTCTTGTTAAAGTCCAGCCTGAGATAGGCTGGCAAATGTTCCAAAAGATGGCTGCACAGGACGCATTCTGGAATTCGACGGCCGAATCTGCGCCGATGCAACATCTGCTGGGGATTTTCAAAGCCGTGGCAACCTACCACCCGGAGCCCATGACTTCCCACCAGCGCCCCAAAAAGACTAGCATTGTTTGGGCAGAGAAGGGTATGGGCGGCCGCTGTGAGGGGAAGCCTGAACTGAAGCACGAGATGGTGGGCATGGGATTTCCAGCAGAAGCCTATCCTGGGTTCATGGAGGATCCAGCTTTAGGGGCTCTTGCCTGGGGCTTCCCTGACAAGCGCGGCTCTGAGGGCGCTTTGGGTCCTAATGGGTGGGACAAATACGTGGGAGAAGTTGGACAATGCTTGTCTGTTGATGCAGACCATCTTGAGATGCCGATGCCGGGACATGTGCACCTCATGAGGGAGAAAATTGAAGAGGCTCTCGCCTACTTTCAGGAAAGGAATTAAATAGTATTATTAGAGTTATAGACCTTTTAGTAAGATGTCTTTCAGCTTCTTCATCATTCCCGCTGTCCACGTAAATCGTTCTCAAATTAGGTACCTAACACAAGATTCTGTGCTTGGAGAGGTTTTCGCGCAAAGACTACACGAATCCTACACAAACAAGATCAAAAGATATCTAGAATTGGTCGAAGCGTAGAAGCCTCGCTGTTCCTAATGTTGAAGGTTACATTTTCGAGCCATAACTTGGCTACAAGTACAATGCGCTGCCCTTCGAACCAGCAGGATGTTTCACCTCTCCGAACCGGACTGAATTAGGTAAAAGTGCATCTTCTCCCGCCTCCGCTTCTCCGACTTGACTCAAACAGTGAGGCACACACCACCAAGTTAACACAACTCCATTGGAACACAGCGGTCCTCTTCGCTCTATGTACTAAAGACTCGGTTTTCGACCCGTGGGCGGATGCGCGACCTACCTGATGCTGTTCCAGCACTCAAGCTTACAACACACTGTTTCCGCCCTATTAAGAATACTGTAGCTTAAGCCAGCCGTCGCAACATCGTCAGGAGACACTCTCTTCGATTCGGTCAATATGAAATACACTCTCCCGAATCCATCTGTCCAAGAACAAGACTTGGCAGGAAAGTTTGCCATCGTTACGTGAGTTCGAACCTGTAACTTAATAAGCTGGGTGCTCCAGCAAAGATTCGAGGCCACTGAATTTTACCGTAGCTGATCTTATTTAGTGGCGCCTCGAGAGGTCTAGGGCGCGGCATAGCCTTCCACCTCGCTTCCCGGGGCTCAAACGTATTAGCGACATGCTCCAGCGAGACTTCACTCAAGAATGTCGTCTCCTTGCAGGAGGAAATTAGGTTGCTCTACCAAGAGAGAAATCCCCAGAACCACGCGACTCCACGAATTTTCGGTGTGGTTGCACCTCTCACAGAGCCGAGCAAGTGTTGCGACAACATTGTGGCTGCAGTGAAGGAACATTTCAGTGGCGCTGTCAACATCTTGGTACAGAATGCTGCCCTGCAAGAGACCATGCCAATTGAAGCCATTGATGAAGGACATGTGCGCCGCATGCTGACAGGGAATATTTCGACCGCTGTTCAACTTATCCAGGCCTTGTTACCGCACTTTGTTCCAGACAGCCGCATCGTCAATATTTCGTCTGAGGGAGCGCGCCAGAGTCAGCCAGCTCCAGTAACATTGCTCTACGGGGCCTGTAAGGCAGCGTTAGAGTCCATGACAAGGGTCTGGGCGGATGCTCTGGGGACGCGGGCTGGCATGGAGAGGACAACCGTTAATTCACTAATTGTCGGAGTCACGAAGACCGGTGATACAGCCAATGGGTTGCCCGAAGGACTACCTGATATCGAACCTGTCCGCCAACTCATAAAGTTTAAGATGGAAGCTTGTAGCGTGGATAGGAGGCTGGGTGAAGTAGATGATGTCGCTGAAATTGTTGGCTGGCTCTGCTGTGAGAAGAGTCGATGGGTGTCCGGGAGCGCCGTATGCGCCAACGGAGGAACGGTCAAAATACTGTGAAAGATGAGATCTTAGCACTGAGGGCACAGCGAACGAATTGCAATTCTATCATTGTCTTTCTGATAGGGAAGCGTCTGGTTACTTTGTGGACATGACATCCGGGAATGTCACTGCGGTCTGGTCTCCTTCTTTGAAACTTGGCTGCTCAACATCTCATCGACATCGGGGGCGAGCGTAGGACTTCGTGGCTATCGTAATTCAATGAGCTCTACGAATAACCAATTCACTTAACCCCCCTCCCCCGGATTAGACCATAGGAACTCAATTAAGGCCAGAGCCCCAGATGGCTAGCCATTCAACTCACCAAGCAAGAGGCCTTTACAAAATTCAAGTGGTCCCTGTCAGACTGACATTGAGGCATCTCTTTGGCGAGGGCTGCAGTCTGGAGTTGGGTTTGCACAGGGCTGTACTTGTGGCCTGTGGTTAGAAGTCAAGGGCCATTCTTCCAGCAGCAATCCAGTCTGCTGATTGCAACGCAATTACTGCTCAAGTCATATGAAACAGTGCATTCACGCCGGACTCTACGCCGGAGCTGTCTCCGAGACGTCCGATGCCCTCCGAGCTGGTCACAACCACGCGTGCCGAAACTTCCAAATGACTCGGTCGCAGGATTTACACTAGCAAAAGGTATGGGCCAAGAAGTGTTGCATCCCTATGGGTGGGCAGAAACAGTATTAGGACCTAAAGCATTGACCTTTACTGCAATGAGGATTGTCGTCAGTAGCGCCTCGATGGCGCGACGTCAACTTTGATCCCCATGATCTACAACCTAGCCACACAATTATCAGCGTCTTAGAAATCGTTCTTCGAAGAAATTTGAGAGTCTCCGCAAGCTCAACTGCTTTCAGCTCCATTTTGCGAAGGTTCGCGATTTTAGGCGAGAACCAAGTCACCACCAAAGCGATGGATAAGATGACAAGGGAAATGAACTTCAACACGCTCCATGCTGTATCAGGGAAAGGAATAAGCGAGTTTACCATGGAACACCTCAAAAACGCATCAATCAGCTCATGGCTTTCAGTCATCGCTCTATCGGTTAGTCAACAAAGACTACGATCTCTCTAATCACGGCTTGGACTTCGCTAAGAATAACCCAGTTCACAGCATATTGGCTCCTATTGATAGGATACCGCCTAACCCTACACCCATATGCAAAGTATCCTGGCCCTAGAATTGCTGCAGTCTCCGAATTGTGGTTTGCGTATTACTGGTAACAAACTTCACTCCAAAGATTAATTCCGGTGTCTGACAATGCGTAGGCTACGCGGTCGCTGGCCATGGGCAGTTGAGAAGGGGTTTGAAGAGTATGGCGATGTCGTACGAATCGCACCTAATGAGATCGCCATATTTGGGTACAAGCCGATAGTTGGTAAGTTTGTATTCTGTGAACATTTTTGCATCTATCAGACGCTCACAAGATACCCTTCATCCTAGACGTCTTGTTGCCTGGAAAAACGGATGATGCGCAGGCTTTCTTGAAGACCGAAGAGCTTGGAGCTCTTGCAGGAAAGCACAAGGGTTTTGCTGCTGATACAGATCCAAAAATCCATCGTTATGTCAGAAAGGCCATGGAACCAAGCTTCAACATGAATGCGATCAAGCGATGGCAGGAGCCCGTCTTGCATAAGCATTACGACCGATTCATTCGGAAGGTCGATGAGGCTTGCCGAAGGGGTCCTATCAACTTGACGGAGGTAAGTGGCAATACATCAGTGCAGGGGGATGCATTTGAGGTTAGGTCAAACTCAGGCTGACCTTCCAGTGGAATGAGTGGCTAAGCATGGATCTTGCCGGTGACTTGACATTTGGACATGACTACGGCAACATAGAAAAGGGTAAGTTATGGAAATCAAAGATGACAGGCAATTTCTAATCACTGAACAATCGAACTATAATAGGTAAAGCCGGAGAGTTCCTGGAGACATTTTCAAAGTTGAGCTTCTGGGGCACCGTGAACCAGGTCTCTACACGCTTCCCCCTTCTTTACCCGTTCGTGCTGCTTGCCTTAAGTCCTAGCTTAGCGACAGTGGCGCCGAAACTCCAGCGCATCAACAGTAAGTATATCAACGATCGAATCCGCCTCAGAGATTCCCTCGAACACGAAGACTTCATGTCATCTCTTATTAAAGAGGGTGGAGAACCGCCCGAAGTCGACTTTCTTGTTGCACAGAGCATGAACGTGGTCATAGGCAACGCCGAAGCCACTTCCAACATGTTCACGGTGTCAGTACATTTTCTCGGCATGCATCAAGACAAACTCGAAAAGCTAAAGATGGATATTCGGGATCGATTTACTTCCTACGAGGACATCAAATCCGACAATGTGCAGAATATTGTATGGCTCAATGCTGTCATCAACGAGGGTCTTCGACTAGCCACTCAGGGCACTTCCGGTTTACCTCGCATCAGCCCTGGCGGTTTCGTTGATGGCCACTACATTCCGAAAGGGGTAATATTAAGACCTTGGCATCTAGTTGTGTAGATCAATTTCTGCTAACCCTCATCTGCATTTAGTACCGCGTTCAAACTAGCTTCTGGGCAGTCTTCCACTCGGAGCGTTACTTTGCGAAACCACGAGAATTTCACCCGGAGAGATGGCTTCCGAAAGATCATCCAGATTATGGAAAAGAATTTGAAAATGACAAGCTTTCTGTTTTCCAGCCTTTCAGTATCGGCACCCGAGGCTGCATAGGTCGTAAGACGGGGCTCTTGCAGGCGCAGCTGATGATCTCCAAGATGGTGTGGGCCTTGGACTGGGAGCACGTCAATCAAGGCGAGATGGACTGGGAACGAGATCTAAGAAGATACGCTATGAACCAATTGCCCCAGGTCGTTGTCCGTTTCCAGAAGAGATCTACATAGTTACGAATCGAAGTGTGTTTTTACAAGAGAGTAACAAATCTTGTTGTTGTAATCATCGTAGATATGCTTTCATGCACAAGTACTCATACATGCCTCCTGCAGTCTAGACTGAGATTCCACTGGAGCTTGCAAAATTCATTTAAGTCCTTAAAACAAATCGTACGGATAACCACTCACATCATAGCGGTGTGGAGAGAAATTGAGCCAAAGCCTTCCTGAATATTGAATACCTAGCAATTTGAGACAACGTGAACCCAGCTTCCCGGCAAAATGTGTCGTCATTCACCTTGCAACTGTTCTAAGCAGCCTCTAGGTAGCTCTTCCATGGTGCCATCTCTCAACCTACCTTCAGGCGGAGGCACGGACAAACATATCCTCCAGTCTTCTATATCTATGTGCCCTTCTTCAATGCGTCTCATCATTCTTTGTACTACTGCTTTGCTCTCCTATGCGGCAAGTCCCCGGAGGAAGTGGTGTTTGGCATAGAGACTGGTTATCCATCTTCTATTCAACTTTCCAAATATGTCTGTTGAGATTGACTGTTAGAATCTTCATGAAATCCGGGAAAAGCCTGTTGCTACTCACACATAGGAATGCAGGTGGTGAAAAGCCCGAGGGAGACAGTTCCTAGGACCATAAAGACAGTCCCAGGCCCAGCTTCAGTAGTCCACGTATTGATGAATATTGAAAAAGAATAAAACAAGAAGTTCTTAAGCATCATTTGTACAATGAAAATCTCGCTGGATCGTTGTGTGAATGTGTCCCTAACACCCTGCCGTTAGCTTGATATTCCCGCAATCTTCCAAGATAAAGATGACGCTCACAAGATATAAAGCCCAGCAGAAGTCGAGGGGACCGAAATACTAAAAGCCATACAACCTAAGCAGAAAGCCCCTAGGAAGTACCCGTTCGTAGAGGGGTGATCGACCACCCACATGAGCAGGAACCAACCGAGCCCACTCAGGGCGGCACCAAGTATGTTGACAGGGATCCGGAATTCTGCCTCATAGACGCCGCCATTCCATTTCGACATGATCATCGCAGACCAGTCGCAGAGTGAGCCAACAGGAATGGCAAACAAACCGCCAATCAGTGCGCCAGCCCAGAAAAAGCCATTTTGCTCAATGTTGAGGTTGTAAGGTGGCATCGACCAGATCTGAGATAGAATGTAGCTGGATGCCACAAAGCAAGCATTGAGAACCGCACTGACGGTCAGAATCCAAAGCACAGCTGGGTTAATGAAGTTGACGAAGAGTTCAGCTAGCAAACGAATGATGTTCTTATCTGTGTACGTCTGTCGAGACTATGGTGATAGCATCTGCGCCAAAGTCTTCTTTGGGACGATGACCGCACCAGTCTCGGCGATGGTGTTCTTGGCTGCTGTGATGTCGATGTCGAGATGCCCTTTGACGGCCGTAGTCTCCGCGTCGCTGTTGGATTGAGAACTCGAAGCTATATCTTGCTGGGTAACAGCTGGTCGTTTGAACTGCATTTCAGGGAGCAAAGCAACTGTCATGATGAGCCCCGCGAGGTTGAATGGCAGTTCGGCGATGAACAGGACCTTGTAACCAAGGCGCTCTGCCATGAATCCGCTGACAATTGATGTCATCGAAACAGTGCAAGCTGACGAGGCGACCACCATGGCAATCCTCCAGCCGCGCTCATGAAGATAGAATAAATCCCCAATTGCCGCAAGCGCTAAACTCTCCCAAGCGGTAGCACCCAGTCCTTGAATCATACGACCAGCGAATATTGTGTTATACTGGGACCTTTGAGACCCTGCTATACAGACTGCGGTGCCGAGGGTTCCGGCAATGGCGGCGAAGAGAAACTGCGGGCGTTTTCCATACTTCTGGGCAAGGATCGAAACCAAGGGCCTGTGGTAGAGCGCATATTAAAAACAAGGCTCAGGCAAAGAAAAGGCTTTTAGTAGGAACGAGGGACTGCAAACCCTATAGCCGCAACAACGAGGAGATGGTAACCAGACAACTCAGCAACTTTTGTGATGCTTACGCCAAGGATGGGGGCAAGGGCAAACGTGGCCGGGCTAAGCATGGGACCAGGAAGCGAAGCGAAGATGATGGTGTTGAAAAAGATAACCCAAAAAGCCGCTTCCTTCTGCCAGTTGGTCCAGAGCTTCCCGCGTCATGTGCGTCAGAGAAATCATGTCCTTTACGTTGAAGGTTTGACTCACCAATGGGTCATTTGGATCGTTCAAGGATGGTTGAGGGACCAAGACCGTGTCAACTCCCTACCCGGATGTCAATATGATGTTTGGGATGATCATGGAGAATACTCAAGGTATTACCATGTAAATAGTTCTTTCGAGAATGCTACCCCGGCTTGGGGCGTCGTGGTCTGAATCATTTGTACTAGATGTTCTGACAAGATGAACGGTCCCTGTAAGAACTGCATCCTTTCCAAGTTTCGCGTCAATAATACCAAGAGGCATGTTTGGATGTGTCTTGTTAATTTGTTGGTGCTCGGTTGAGCTCTACGACATCAGAAGCTTTGGCAATTGATGGCGCCTATTATGTTTTTATTCACGAGCGATATCTCGAAAGGAGGAGATCTCAAAGTTTCATCGTGCAAACAGCTTCTTACGGCGTCACGATGATGTCTCAAAGACTTCTTAATTTCACACTCCGAGATGATCTGTTGTCACTGAGCGGCTTCCTCCTAGGTCTGAGGTCCGCCGGTTGTATGAAGATCGAATAACAGCCATTTTGTGTACAGGGCCTGCATAAGGCCCGCAAGCTTATTGTAACATGTTTTGCAAGGCTGGCACACGCCAGCTTCAACCTATAGAACCTCAATCGCGCTGTGGAATTTCTGAAAATGAATATTTGATGTTGATAAGATGGGCAATGGAGGTCGTCCTAACTTCTTAAATGTAACCTCGCGCTTCCGCGGGCGTCCGCCGGCGCTTGTGCCAAGGCAAATGTCTCCGACTGAGCTTCGGAGGTAACCCCACCGGCCCGGACCTTTGTCGTGGGCCCGAGATTAACTCTCCGAGCCAAGTCCCAGTACCGGTTTCACACCTTTCGTACCATACGATATCTCAACATGCTACATTCAGAGATCGGCGTTGTGCCGCAGAGCCAAACAATCCGTGTGATTTGTTCGTCTCGGGGTAGTCAGATAGCAAAGCGTTCCGTGCATATCGCTGCGAAAGTTGTGGCAGGTGCTGAATTTGGATCACTTGTGATGCTCGCCATGTACATTGGCATGGGTTGTTGGATCATACCGATCTCCAGTCTGTAGATCTTAATCCTTGCTCAAGCCTTGAAAACTGAGAACGCATTTTACGCTCGCCTGGTGCCAGAGTAAACAGTTGAATCAACATACCATTGTATACCTTTCACGAACAGAGTCCAAACCTGCAAGATGGACGCCGCAAAGAGGCAATCTACGAAGGTGGATTCTTGGTTCGTCCAAAATCTGGATGACAACACAGAGCCTTATTTGAGGCGTATTTCGACCGGAAATAACACACTCTCGGATCGTTTGCAGTTCAATATTGACGATGGACAGAGGCTTACGGACCCTATTAAGCTTGATGAAGATGAAGGCAAATACCCTGAGGGCATTACACTAGTGCTAATCATACTTGCACTGGCACTGGGTCTTTTTGAGGTAAAATCCCAACAAGCAACAGTCGCAACTGACAAAGATTCTTGAATCATGGCAAAGTGAAGACTTCTCCAGCTAACAGTTTTACTCAATGAGCTAGTTCGCTCTCGATGCCACCATCGTTGCCACTGCTATCCCCGTCATTACCACCGAATTCAAAGCCCTCGCAGATGCCGGCTGGTATGGCTCTGCATATTTGATGACGATTGCGAGTTTTCAAGTGCCATGGGGCAAGCTGTACAAGTTCTTCATTCCGAAGTGGATCTTCCTGGCAGCGCTCATCATCTTCGCCGTCGGGAGTGTACTTTGTGCCATTGCCCCCAATAGTGCCTTCCTAATTGCCGGGCGTGCGGTTCAGGGCATTGGGGCTGCTGGTTTAACTGGCGGCGTCTATGTAATCCTGGCGCTCGTCACGCCTCGGAGCAAGACGCCAATCTATCTGGGCGCATTCGGTGCCATCTTTACCGGTGCGAGTTCCCTTGGGCCTATCATCGGCGGTTTCCTCACAGAAAAGTTCTCATGGAGGTGGTGGTGAGTCCAATCAGCGTATAATATGCACAAAAGAGAGGAGAGCTGACAATTGCACGTCGTAGCTTTTGGATCAACATACCCTTTTCCGTTCTCGCCGGAATTATCGTTCTGTTTTTCTTCAAGATTCCAAATACTGTCAAAACCGTCAGGGCACCATGGAAGAGCATTGTGCGTCAGATGGACCTGATGGGTGTCGTTCTTATCACCGGTATCATCGCTCTATTTGTCACCGCAATGGAGTCCGGAGGGATCAAACACGAGTGGGACTCTGGCTTCGTCGTCGGTACGCTAATGGGATCGATCACTGTTGCCATGCTCTTCGGGTTTGAGCAGTACTTCATGAAAGAGGACGCTCTTTTGCAAGCAAGGTTCTTGACCAATATGAAGATCGGCTTCCTTTGCGTTTTCGCATTCATGTAAGTGGACCACCAGCTCTATATATACTTGGGACTTTCTTTTGACACCATCGTAGGCTTAGCTCGGTTGCCTACTCAATCCAGTATAATCTGCCTGTCTACTTCCAGGCAACCAAAGGGTTTACTCCCGCACAGAGTGGTGTCAACGTTCTTCCCCTGTTAATTGGTGGAGGTGAGTCATATTGCCTTTGATCCATTCTTCTCGTATGACGTCTAACATTTACATCGTAGCATTTCTCACACTATTATCCAGTGTGGCGTACTCCAAATATCGGAATGACCGGCTATATTGTGTTCTCTCTGGTGCTCTTACGGTGCTAGGCTCTACACTGATCCTCACCCTTGGCCCGGACTCTACACCAGCTCAGTACCTACTATACCAGCTTATAGTAGCCTTTGGCTATGGCTTAGGAACCCAAGTTCCAGTCCTAGCTGTCCAGGCTACAGTCGATGTGCAAGACGTGCCCCAGGCCACAAGTATTGTCCTCCGTAAGTCTTCTCTGGGGCCAACATTCAACTTGCTATAAGTATCAAAAAGTATTGTACTAATAGACGGATACTCACAGTTTTCCAACTTCTCAGTGGTGCACTTGCGGTATCAGCAACTCAGAACCTCTTCAACAACATCATGTTGCAGAATGCTGTGCGAAACGTCCCCAGTCTCACCGCTGCCCAGATCTTGGCCGCAGGATCTACGGATCTGAAAAAACTCTTCTCCGCGGACATTGCTCCTCAAATAATTGCAGCGTACACAGAAGGTCTTCGAGCATCATGGGCTATGGGCATTGGATTCGCTGGCGGTGCCTTGATTTCTGGGGTGTTTGTTGGAGCTTGACTTGGCTTACATGTTTGCACGCTAAACACTCATTTGGGAGGGGAGTTTTATTTCTAACACTCTTGCTCTAAAATCGAATTGCGGTTAGAGTCACTTGGCAGAGTGTTGACCAAAACCTTGATAGAGTGTCCAAGTCAATCAGACAGAGTACACTTGTTCCTAGGATATTGCCTGTGAACATATTGCTTCTTCGAAGTTCAGGCAGACATGCCATGTCATTATCTGAAGAGCGCAAATTATTTGATTGTACAAGTTCATGCGAGATGAAGAGATGCGACACCGTGGATTGATATTTTACACAACCCAACCTGAAAGCATGATATAACAAGAGATAGATGCACAAGAAGAAGTTGTTCTTCTTGTGCACCTTACTTCATCTGCTAGGACATGAGTTAACTTCAAAGTTGTGTCTGGTCTCGATTCCTTCTAGTGTGCTTTCTAATTATAGCGAGGATCGCTGGCTTCGAAAAGAAGCATACACCCGACTACCTCATATCGTACCTCATTGAACATCTTTTGGAGAGGCACCAAGATACCCACTGCATCGTCCTCATGATTATCAAAGACCCCCAAATAGTTGTTCAACCACAATACAAGGCGCGCCAGCGGATTACGGTTCACACCCTTACCCAAAATAGTAGCCCCGAACACGACCCCTCCAGGCCTCAACAAGCGACCCATGCGTCCCAAAGCCTCCGCCTTGCGTGCTGGTGGGCCAGGCAGGCAATGCAGCAAGAACATGAGAGATATAGCATCAAATCCGCCTTCCGGCAAACTATTTCCCTTCGCAAACAAACTTTTCAGCTCGTCACCTTGAGCCAGGAAGTCACCAACGACCTTCGTAGCGTTGGTGCCGACCTCCGGATGTGCCCTTTCAATGACGGGTAGAGTAACGTCCAGGCACGTCTCGTTGAGGTCGACAAGAACGTACTCGGTCCATTTAGGCAAAGGAGCTCTTGCGGGGAAGTATCCTGTGCCAACGCCAATGTCGAGGATTCGAGTGGGTGGGGGACCGCCCGGGTTGGACTTGTACGGCTCTGCGGCGCGAGCTATATTGCGGTTGAAGAAAGAGATGAGTTTCTCGGCTGAGCAATTCCAACCGTAAGGTGAAACGACACCAAAGACGAGAGTGTCGTAGGTTTTCAGGTTGCTTGGATTGTATGCATCTGCACCTTTTGCTGTGTCCAGCTTTTTTGTTTGAGTCTGAGTTGAGTTTTGTGACATTTTCTCTAATGCTTGAAAACTGGCAATTCGTGGACCGTCTATGAAATGAAGGTCTTGCGGCAGGGCGTAGAGCATATTGGTTTCCCGAAATTGATGAGAGTGGAATCTTTCAGATGACTGGTCCTGAGATACTAATCTCGAGTTCGAGCATTTGTATCAGTGCTGAGCCCATCTGTGACCACGCCGACTTATTCCACTTAGAGATGGTCTGTTCCTAGGTTTGACTCCTCGCTCCTTGAATTTTGGTCAGACTTCCACTGGAGACATTGTAGGGTGTACCTCAAGACTGTTTCAAGAAAGTTCGACGACTCCGAGGCGTACCCTAAGCAATCGGCGAACAACCGCAGAGAAGAGCACTCGGACAGCAGACGGGACGAGTCGGAATGAGCCTACGACCGCTGGAGAATGGAGCCAGGTCCGAACTGCCTCTGAGGCCCATGCTCCCACCATGACCTCCGAAAGCTCCGGGCATATCTTGCAAGGTCGAACCTAGGAGCGGAGGTCAAATGGATCCAGAACAACCAGAGTTCACCTTCAGTTTCTGAGCGCTCTTGTGTTTTCTGGAGATTGACGATTTAGTAGAGTCTGGAATTGTGAAGGCTGGTTTCTTCGTTCAAGTTTTAGCACCCAGAAATTTGCCTCAGTTTGTACTTCGTGAAGTGCATACTTCTCTTTGTGTCTGTCAAGAATCCTCTCAGAATAACCATCCTAAAGAAACAAAAAAATGGCGGCCATCGAATCCATCTTCCAAGAGTATGCAGAGCGCCTCAACCGCCGACTTCCCGGCGAGAACATGGCGAAGTTCTCGTCTCC